TAGGAAGAGGGCATTCTGCCAACACACTGGCTTTGGCCTGGAACTGCAATTATCAGCTCTTCCCTTGTTTCCAGCTTGCTGGCCTGCCTTGCAGAGTTTGGCCCTGCTGGCCTCCACAATCTTGTGAGCCAATTCCTTAAAATAAAAATGTCTCTCTCTTGCTTCAGTTTCTCTGGAGACCCCTGGCTAACACAGATGGCCAAAATAGATTCATCATTTTAGTACCTTGATCCAGCCAAACCCAACATCATATACTTCTGGGTTTTTCATGTAATTGCTCCTCTTCAGTTGGGTTTCTGTCACTTGGAACCCAAGGGGTCCTTTTCAAGAGGGAGTGGTGTGCTCACATTTACTGAACTCTCATTCCATGCTAGCCTTGGTGCCCTCCTTTGATGGTTGACCAGGTCTTAAAGGGTGCGTAGGAGTTCACGCAGCATGAGGAGGACAGGGTAGAGTGAACATGTGCAAAGACATAGAGAAGCGATGGCACATGGCAGGCCGAAGAAACCAGAGCATTCCATGTGGCAGAAGCAGAGGAAGTGATTTGGTAAGAAAACCAGGCTGGAGAAGGTCCAGGGGCCAGAGGTTGTAGAACTTTGAATGCCAGGCTGAGGGGCACCTGAAATCAGATTCCATACATCCTTTCTTTCTCATCCACTCGAATCAGTATAGCACTGTGGTTAATGACATGGGTTCCTGGAGCTGCCTTGCCTGGTCTACTACTTACTATCTATTCAACCTCAAGTATGTTACTTAATGCCTTGGTGACTCAGTTTCCCCAATGAAGATAACAGCATTGTCTATGTCATAGGGTTCCATGTAATGATTAAATGAATCACTACACATTTAGAGTTCAGCACAGTGCTTGACAAGTAGTAAACACCTAGTAGTTAGTAACAATCTTATTCCTACCAAGGCCAGTGACAGGCTTCTGGGCTGCAAACCCCAGGCCCCAGAAAGACAGTTGCAGCCCTGTACCCTCTCCCTGCGTCAGGCAGCCCCACCTGCCTCCCTAGGGGGCTGCTGCTCTCCCTTCTAGTTCTCACAGAGGCATGGCCAGGCTGGGCTCCAGGGAGCTGGAATTGTCATTGCAGCAACAGGAGAGAACAGGACTCTCAGCTCTAGAAACAGATTCTTAGCCACATCTCGGTCTTGGGAATTAGGCTGGAACTGGGTGAGAACAAGCTTTCCAGACACACAGGCCCAAAGGGAGTTCCAGAAACACAGAGGCCATAAACTTAGCCCTTTCCCCCCTGACTCCCAGATATGGAGGCGAGAGGCTTAAAGCCAGCTCAGCAAACTCTGGGGAGTAGCTGTACAAAGCAACTTCAATGAGATGCGTAGAATGCCAGAAGTTCAGAATTAAAGGGCATCCTTGGATTCCCAGGCTTTTTAGGTTTTGCGTTTCCACGGGGTGATGCAGAGAAAGGACACCTCTGCCAACAACTTACGGGGATGCTGACAAATCATCCCCTCCTTGGCTTCAATTTTCCTGAACATCCAGTGACGGAGGGTTTAGGGTCTAGGGTGGCAAGGAAGTTTCATCTTGTGGGTCAGATTTGCTGGGTGGTAAGTGGCTGCCTGGCTGGCTGGTTAGAGAGTGTGGCGCATGGGCAGTCCTTGCCCTAGTTTTAGCTCTAAAATGCTCAGTCTTGGTCACTGAAGTGGATCCTGATGTCTGGCCCAGTCCTCCCATGGACTCTGGCCTCAGCAGCAATCCTATGGCTCCCAAAGCGAGTCAGGAGTGGATTTAGGTTCTACCTCTATACAAATTCCTCCACACTTTCCCTTCTTACCTGGTTAATGCCAGTGTCTGCTGGAGAGAACTATGCACTCTAGGTTCAACGTGGGACAACTTCCTAATGAGAGTTCATTTCCTTGATGACAGTGAAGAGAGAATTATAAAAAAGGAAGCTGAAGCCCATCGTAGTCTATGCACTTTGTCGGCCCTAGGTGACCTCCTGGCTCGGGCTGTGCCATCCACTTCTCCTGCTTCCTCACAGTCCCCCTTCCTACCTTGGTCAGCCCTCAGCCTCCCTGCCCTTCTCTAATCAGGAGCTCAAGGCCTCTTTATCATCTCACTCACCAGGTCCTGATAAGCACTGATAAACTCATTCAATCCAGCTGCAGGTGAATTTCCAATGGTGAGATTGCAGGCACTGACCAGCTCAAGGCCTCAGCAGAAGTTTTTGTCGGTCACAGGAGGAGGTGACCATCACCCAACAGCGGAACATTCACGGTTCTTCAGTGGTGGGGAGAAGTATTCTGCCAATAGACTGGAATTTGCGAGATTCCGATGGGAGCTGCCCTGCCCTCTAGAGCATATGTTGGAAATGGGTGCACACAGTCCCTGGGACCAAAGTGCCCAGTTGGAATCGCAGCTCTGCTACTTCCTCGCTGTGTGACCTCAGGCAAGTGACTTAACCTCTTTGTATATCAACTCTCTCAATAAAATGAGTTTGTTGATAATAATGGCACCTGCCTCACGGAGTTATTGATGGAATGTATGAGCTGAGTGCTTAGAACAATACCTGGCACATAGTCCATGCCATCTGAGTGTAGGCTGCTGTCACCAGGCTTCTGGGATGGCCGTGCATGAAGCCCAGGTGTTGCAGTTTGAGATGGCAGACAAGGGTTTAGCCTGGGCCGGGCACATGGGCGTCAGCAAACAGCAGCTCCCACCTCTTACCTGGGTTTTGGAATTGTGTCCAGAGCCAGGCTAGGTGCTACATAAGAAAACACAGGGAACTCATCTGCGTGGTTGCTGTCTCAGAGAGCCAGTAATTCGAAGGACACTGTGGCTTTGTCTTCATTGAGGACATCAGAAAGCCTGGCAGTTTCCCTGCTCCCTCTCTCCGTCCCTGCTCATTGATTTCTTTGAGTCCCACATGGCAGTCACTGCACTTTGATCTGGGCCCCTCGCCCCTGCCATGATTTTGGGAGGTGCTGGGAGCAGGGAGTCTCTCTGTTTTATCACCGAGTCCTCGGGATCCAGCTTGGTCTGCATCCATTGTGGGATGAGGTCGGGGATTCATTCACAGGGCTGAACCTGGGGTATGGCCAGTGGGTGTTTTGCAGTCATCCACTGGTAGGGATGGTGATCATGACTTGCTACCTGCGGTCCTTGCTGCCTCAGCACCTATGCTGGGTGGGATGTGACCCCACCCCCAGCCACCATTGATAGGACCTGTGATTGGTCTCTAACCTACCGCCCACTCAGGTGATTTGGCCTGATCAGATTCTACCTCAGGAATTTGAAATGGGGAAACAGAGACAGGGTCAGGTGAGTCATGCTGACACAGCCCCACTCTCTTTCCCAGAGCTAGCAGTCCTGGTCTCTGTCACCAGAAGAACTTTGACGTGCCCCCTGCTGGGCCCTCGGAGTTATGGCTTCCTACCTCAAGCCCTTGTGTCTCCCACGGTCCTCTGTGGGATGCACTTCCACGGAGGGAGTGGACCCTGCATCTTCCCCCTCACATGCTGTCGTCGTGACCTCAGGAGAAGCACTGGTGGCTGTGATGTCCTTGAAAGAAGCTGGGGCACCCCATATCTTGAGGCGACCCTTTGGGGCTCCTGCCTTCAGCTATGCTTTCTGGAAGTGAGCAAAATCCCTGCCACATAGACTTCATCTCCTCCCATCTCTGCTGAGAAGACACTGAAGCCCAGCACAGCCTGTCTCCTGCTTCCACAACCCTCTGTTCCAAGCAAGCCCTGGCCATCTGATCACATCCTTCACGTCAGACCCAGATCGCAGCACTGGGATCTGTCTCTCACCCTTGAATAGGAGCCACAATCCTTATGGCTTTTTGATTTGCAGCCTTGCATCTGCTGCCCAAATCCACACTCACTCCTATAAGTTGGAAAAGACATGTGTTTATTTTATTAATGAGCTCACAGTAAGGTTTGCAGCGACAATCCTAGCAGCCATTAGAGCAGGCGCCAAAGGAGAGGGATGGAGAGAGAGAGACTCCAGTGGGGTCTTATTAGGGTTCAAGGAAGGAGTCCCCTAGGGCTGGGAGAGACCAAATTCACTGGGCCAGAGGAAAGGAATGAGAGTCTGGATCCCTGAGATACTTTCCCAAACAGCTGCCTGCTCCCTCTCCTCCATGTTGGCCTTCAGAAGAGTGGGCAGAGCTGTTCGTTATCTGGCGCTGGTTCAGGGCCAAAGGGAGTTTGAGATTTCTGGGTGCTGGGTTCAGGACTCCAGGGATGCCATCTGGTGCCTGGAGTGTGGCCTCTCTCAAGGCTGGTCCGAGGCTTTGTGTTCAGGAGGTGGAGCTCACCATTTTCTAGGGGTGAATTTGCTTTCCCTTTTTGGACTTCAGAAGAAGGTCCTGCAGGGAAATGGAAACGGCCCAGGTGGGTGCAGGCCTTGTGAGTGCACACTCAGCCCGGCCAGAGCAAGGCCCCACAGCAGGAGCGCCTGCCCTGGCAGCACAAGGCCCTGCCAACCTTTGGAGACCCCTCTGGGTGCAGGCCCCAAGTGGCTACACACCAGTCACAGCCACAGCACACAGGAGGCCAGGGAGAAAGCGGGGGGTGAGGGGGACACCTGGGGTCGGGGGACGGGGAGGGGGAGACCTGGGGGAACACATGCAACAGTCCCTTGCAAAAGGCAAGTGACAGAAAACACAGGGCCATGCAGGCCATCCCAGAAGCCACGGTCTAGCCAGCCAACTGTCTTGGGAGCATGAGCCCCTAATGTTTTGGGAAACTTGTAACAGGAAGGTCAAGTCCAGGCTTGGGTCTGCCCCAGATGCTGCTATCTGTGGCTTCAGGCCACACCAAACACCAGTTTCACAGCCACCTGCCAGCTCTGTCCATGGGCACATCCCTATCACAGGGTGAGAAACACATCCCACAGTTGGGCTCCGTGGTATGTCCCACAGATAGAGCCCAGGGCCAAGGAAGGGAGAAGACAGAGAAGACAGCATGTCTGAGCAGGGCTCAAGCCACGGCAGGGCACAGGAGGACGCGAGCAACTCTAATCCACCAACCCGGGTTCTTTGGACCAGTCTTCAAAACCTCTTAATAGCCCTGGTTCTGGCCAAGTGTGGGGGCCAGGGTAGAGCAGAGCTCCCAGCAGGCTGGCATTCATGCGAAGGGGAATTTTCACATTCTGCTGAGGACACCTCTGGGGGGCAATTCCAGCTAGGCCTCCTGTGGGCTCCCCTAGCCCCATGTGCCTAGTTCGAGGCACAGTCTGTGCCCCACAGAGAATGGTGCCCAGTGCATCATGCCACTCATTTGGGTGCTGCTTGGGACCCAAAGCAGGTCCCAGGCCATGATGAGTCAGGACACCTGGGTCACAAGCACATTTCGCAGACTGGGCTCTGTGCCACCTCCCTGAGGGAAAGGCCTTGAGTCTGAACAATTCCACTGTGGCCAACAGCAGGCCCCGGGCAGCACTTCAGGGATGGCGCTTTGTGTACCCTCCAGATGCCAGTCCAAAGAACCTGCTGACAACGTGGGCAGCAGATGGTCACTGCACGCAGCAGGGAAGACAGGGCCCTGTGGCCAGCCTGCCTATTCACCATGGGCTCCAGCTGCAGGAGGAACCCGTGTCTGTGCACGGCAGCACGGTCTTCAAGGAGCTTTCGGACCGGCTGGGGGCTTTCAGCTGCGGAGGAGGGAAGAGAAGCGCTATACACACGGAGCAGAGCAGGAAACACAAAACAGGTTTGGTTACTGCCAGGCAGAGCTCCACGGGCCTCTCCTTTCACTGGGTTCCTGCCTTGGGTTCTGCCTAGCCCCTGCATTCCGGAATTAGTAGCTGCCGGACCTTGGTTTCTCCAAGACGTGTGTAGAGCTCAGACTCTGCTGGCCACGGGGAGCAAGCAGGCGCAGCCACGACAGGAGGTAGGAGGCAGCCGTGAGTGGGTGAGTGGTGGGTGGGTGAGGGCTGGAGGGGTGACGGAATGTGGTGAGGATGGAGGTGAGACACCACAGAGGCAGAGGGACAGAGAAAGGCAGACAGAGAGGTAAGAATGGATGCAGAATGACAAGGACAGAGGAGCAGGGACTCAGAGCCAGGGAGGGAGAGGAACGGGAAGAAAGAATAGGAGACAGTAAGAGAGAAAGGGGAGTGAGAAGGGGAAAGAGGAGGGCAGATAAGAGGTTGACAGGAAGGGAGGAAGAGAGGGCAAAAGAGAGAGAGGGAGGAGGAGAGAAGGCAGAGAGACTCACAGTACACAGAGACAAATACACAAGGAACCACAGAGAGAGAGAGAGACTAGGCCAAAGCTCCCTGAAGATCCCACAGGGTGGGGACAAAAACCTGTGGCCCTGGCTGCCTAGAGACACAGCAGAGTGAATGCAGTGAGCCACCAGGAAGACCTTGCAGCGAGTGAAGTGTGGACACAGACATCTTCTAATCGTCTAATCATGGGGCAGGGGATAAAGTTCTGAGTGGCGAATTAACAATCCTGAGTCTTTGTCCCAATGTCACGGCTTATTCAGTCTAAGACCTCGAGCCTCAGTGCCCCATAGTAGAGAAGAATTTGGACAAGCCCTCCTGGGAGGCAGCTTGGACACTGCTTCAGGACAATCTTAGCACTAGTCCAGGAGTTTTCTAGGAGCTCTGGCTAGGAGAAGCTGCGTGCTTGGGCCATTCCTTCAGGCGGGAGAAGGCTGGGGTGGGCTGGAGAAAGGTGGCTGAGATTCTGGAGAAGGAAGAGGCACTCTCAGGCTGGGTGACTGCACACACTTACAGCTCATCATCGTACTCCTTGGGGGGGCAGACGGCAACCACAAGGTCGATCCAGTCCTGTGGGGAGAAGGTGTGTGACATTCGGGCACACTCATTGGACGATGCGTCTGCCTCGGCACTCCATCCCCATTTCTGGGCACCGTGGCCCAGATCAGCCAGCTTGCACCTTCTTCCCAGGGGCCCACATGGGCCTCACTGTGGGCTTCCATGGTCTGAGGACATTTCTAGTCTCTGAGGCTTCGGGACCACAGAGGCCAGGGTTGCAAGGCCTTCGAATGACACTAAGTTCCCAAATGTTGATCTATGGACTGGGGACAGGCAGCAACCTCAGAGTCACTTAGTAGAACTTCTTAAAAGTGTAGACTCATGGACTTGACCCCTAGAAGTCAGGGGTGAGTCCTGGTAAATAGTCCTTTAAACAACCTCTCTGGGTAATTCCGATGCACTTTCTGATGCACAGCCAAGTGGGGGACTTCTGGCCCACTTTTGGATCTTAACACCTGAATCCCCTTCGCTGCCATCCCTGACTTGCCCTTCATTTTCCCTCCTTGGCTTGGGTGTATCCCCTGAAAAGTCTCGGAAATATCACTGGGCCCCTCTACCGTGTGCTAGTTCCTAATATTGAGCTGAAATCTCCCTCTTCCCCCGGGACTTCCCTCCATCGAATCCAGGCCTTCCCTCAGGAATCACAGAGAACACTTCGGCTCCCTCTGCCCTAAGGCAGCCCTTCAGATAATCAAAGATAGTCATCATGTTACCCGTGAGTCTTCTCTTCTCCACATCCCTTCATGTGGGTCCCAGGCCCATCTGGTCAGCTTCCTCGGCACTGAACTTAATACCTCAGGCTCGGCTGCCTGTATACAGTTGCACAGGTTGTGCACTGCACAACATGAGCAGGCACCATTCACACTACAGTCTATAAAAGGGCACCCCCTCAGATTGTGCAGTGCACAGCCTGAGCAACTTTATGTAGCAGCCCTGCTCCAGGTGGGTGTCTAATGAGTGCAGAGCGGATTCCCACCAGCCCCTCCTTCATCCTGGGTTCTTTGCTTTTGTTAATGCTTTCTGGTAGGCCCCAGCATTCTCTTGATTCTTGTTCAGTGTGCACTCAGAAAAGACCTTAAGTCTTTTTCTTGGATGAGCTGCCATGCTCTGGCTTTGGGAGTCTGTATGAGCCACTGGCTTTTTAGATCTAAGGTCAGGAATTGACATTTATTTTTTTGAATCCCACTTTGTCAGATTTAAACCACTGGCTGGATGGAGTATGTGGTGTCACCAAAGAGTTTCCTGGACCCCAGATGCCCGCCCCGGGATGAGGCTTCCAGTTGTGAGGGCTGGCTGCAGAGGCCAGGGTTTGAGGCAGGCAGGTGAGGGAGGAAAGGAGGAACAGGACTTATTCTTACCCCGCCCTGATTCCAGGCCTTCTGCAGGGCAGCCTCAGCCTCAGCCAGGGTGTAGTCTGTCGCAATCTTGCCGTTGATTGCCATGATCTCGTCTCCTTTCACAATGCCACCTGCAGGAAGATGAGGCTGATGGACCAACTGGGCTGTATGTGACACGTGCCTGGCCCCAGGGCTTGGCAAAGGGGGTCATTGCTGGACCACAGAAGAGACCCGTCACTGGGTTCTGAAAGCTCATGTGGACTCAGAAAGCATGAGGGGAAACTTAGCCACCTGGTGAGTGGTTAGTCAAAGGGCATTTCATACCCATCCCATCCACACCCCCTCACCCCAGCTCAGGAGAGCAGGGACATCATTGACGATGAGCCTCTGTTACTACAGAGGGAGATGGTCCTGCATTTCCAGCACAGTATGAGGCCTGAGTCAGTTCTGCTAGCTGGCCCTCCCTGTTGCCCAGCCGTGCTGGTACGTTCTGGTCCCTGAGCTGCCATGCTCTCTCCTGCCTCAGAGCCTTCATGTCACTGTTCCCTACCTCGCTTTCTCTTCTCCTAGGTCTCAGATGAAATGTCAGAGGGGGCTTCTCTGACCTCCACTCAGTCAAATGTAGATCTTGCCTGTTCTCTCCCAGCATCCCGGGCTTTTCTTACTTGGCATTTTCCACCATTTGTAGTCATTAACCTGTTTGTTTACGTGTTTACTGATGGTCTTTCCCACCACACTGCCAGCTCCACGTGGGCAGGGATTGTCTTTTTGGCATTATGGCAGACATTGCCATAATGTCCCCAGCACTTCACATAATGCCTGGCACAAAATAGGACCTCAGTAGGTATTTGCTAAATAAACGAATGCTGTAAAAAAGGTGCTCCTGGAAAAGCCGCCTGGGATCTAACAGTTTTGGGGAAAGCTGAGTTGTAAGCTGAACAGAGCTACTCACTGCAGGATCTGTCAGTCTTGAATATGCTAACATGCACTGCGGCTCTCCGGGATGTAGATAGATTGTGCGTGGTTTCCCACATCTCTTTGACATCAGAGCCCTTTTTTGAGGAATTTCTCCCAGTCCTAATGTCCGCAGAACACTCTCCAGGTGACATTGAAAATAAATCACCCAGAAGCCTTGTGGGAAGGGAAGCCCATCGGAACGTGGTGTATGATACTGACAGTGGCGGCCATGATGGCTTAAAACACACATGCTCCTAGGGAAGCTTCATCTGCAGCTGATTATGCTCAAAGCAGTGGAGGACCAAACCATAGAAATCAGTTGCCTCTGCGCAGTGCAGAGGGGCATAGGTGACTTTCACCTTTTCATTTGGTACAAATCCAAGACAGAGTCTCAGGGGCAATAAGGCAGTGGTTGGGTTGGGGCTTTGTAAGTGGGAAGGACCCAGGAGAGTCGCCCCTCCATCCGGTCCCCTCTCTCTGCTAGACACAGCAGACAGGTGTCACAGAAATGTCACCAGGTGACATAGAAATGAAGATAGAAGAGAAGGGTGGGGCCTGGGTGGGCACTGATGGGCTGGGGCAGCTGCCCAGCTGGGCAGGCCCTCTCCTAGGGCTGAAATGAAAGCTTAGAGTGTGAAGTCACCGAGGACATGGGTGCAGAGTTGGACTTGTACCCACGGCTCCCAGTGCCCATAGCTCACCTCAGTAACCTACAGAAGCCTGGCTGCCAGCCCCAGAGGGCCTTTCCCTACTCTTTTTCCTGCCCCTTACCTCTTACCACCTCCAGCTTATGGTACAACCTGGCTCCAGACTAGAACTGCCCGGAAAAGACCTGCTTATGGGATCCCCAACTCTGGACTGGGAAAGTAAGAGGCCTAGGGCTCCTCCTCTAAGGGCACCTACATCCCCACAAAGGACTCAGGAGCTTCCCTGACATGGAAGAAGCCATCACCAACGGTGGGGGTTCACACGCTGTCCAACAGCTGAAAGGGGTGATTGTTTGAAGCAAGAGATTGTGCCTGGGGTCTGCAAAGGTTTCACTCATCAGCAGAGGGTGTTTTTGTTGATAAGGGGATAAAGAGCAATGCAAAATGAGAAGACAGACACAGGGCATGGGGGCCTCTGGCCCTCTGGGAGGGAACAAGGCTGTGGAAGACCTCAGGCAGAGGTGGCAGTAAAGCAAAATAACCAAACTGCCCAGATTCAAGTCCTGCCTCCACCTTCTCCTGGCTGTGGGTCCTTGAACAAATACTTTAACCTCTCTGAGCCTCAGTTTCCTCAGCTGTAAAATGAGACTAACAGAACCTGCTTTCAGGGTTGTGAGGATTAAGTGAGTTCATGTCCGTGAAATGCTCAGACACAGGGCTGTGAGTCAGGTGAATGGCAGCTAGCACATGGCTAGTTCTGGGCAAACGTTTGGCTCCTGCCATAACTGAAAGGACAGGAAAGGTTTTGGGGGCTTCCAAGCTTCTCTTCTTCCTGAAAAGCCCTTTCTCCGCTTCATGAGGCTGCCATTGACTAAGGCTCAGCTCAGGGCTCACCCTTCTGAGGAGCGATCCTGGCCTCCCTTTTCCCCTTGGGGGTTTAGGGGCCCCTCTGGTTTCCCACAGCTTCGCTCCATTCTGAGTTCCCCGTCAGCCCTTAGGAGGCCATGCTCTGACTTTCAGTATCTGGCAATTCTGAGCCCGTCTACAACCCTGGCTGGGGAGCCGCTGAGGATAGGGTGGTATCTGGCTTGGTTGTGTACTCACAGTCCCAGCACCATCCCATCCCCGAGGGATTGGACAGATGACTGGATGGATGGACCGGAGTGGGAGGGCGTTTTCCAGCAACTAACAGCCCACTCCCAGTGGTCACCTGTTTGCTTTCCCGGAGGGCCCTGCCCAACCTCTGTATCATCCCCAAAGCTGGGTGTGGCTGTTTCCCACTCACCATGCCGCTCGGCAGCTCCCCCTTCGTACACAGCAGAAACGACCACCTTCCCAATGGGGGAGTCCACACCACCTTCCAGAGCCAGGTCTAAGGATCCCTCCTGGTTAGAGGAAAACAGGCCTTAGGGAGCCAGGCCGACGGCAGCCTGTGGACCCTGGGCGTGAAGGAGTCTCTTGACAAAGCCACGGTAAGAGCAGGAGAAGCCATGGGGCCAGAGGCAGTGCCACCAGGAGAAAACAGGGCCTGGATGCCAAGTGGGGCTTGGGTACTATGCGGCCCTATAACAGAGAGGCATCTCCATGGGGAAAGGGGAGGACAGTGGGGACCTGAGAGGACACCTGGGAGTGACCTTGAGAATAGAAGCAGGGAACCAAGGCGGGAGGGGCGGGTGCAGAGAGGGATGGCAGCCCGCTGGCCTCCACGTGCCCAGGTACCTTCTTAATGCGCAGGAGCCGGACGTCCTTCCCCATGATCTGCTCTGGGCTGAACTAGAGGGAAAAAGACAGTGGGATGCTTTGAGCTGGCCTGAAGGATGGCGCTGGGGGTAGGGGCGGAAGGGGAATCCAGGCACCTGGGGGACACTGGGCCCCATAGAGCACATAAGCAAGGAGACCGTGCCCAGTCCTACCCCCCACTGGTCTCCAACTGGGGGGTCCCAGGCCCAATGGGGACAATGGACACATATGTGCATATGCGCCATACAGTTGACACTGGAATGCCCTCTGGAAGGAACCTTTGTGGGAAGAGCAGCTGGGGCATCACTGGGGCTCTTCTGTGCCCCACCGCCTCCCAGGACCCCAGGGCCTAGAATGCACTACTGTCAAACGCTCTAACCCCCATGCTACCCTGTTCCTGGGGTTACCCCCCCCAGGAGAGAAGAGTCATCTCTTACCATAGAGTAGGGGTCGAAGCCTTCCTCATATTTCCGGAAGTCCTGGAAGTAAAGGGAGGGTTTTAGGGCAACAGAGCAAAAGCCCTTGAGGGTCAGGGTCGGGGAGGAGGAGGGTGAATGGTCAGAATCCAAGGGTCAGAAGTGGGGGCAGGGTGGGAGCAGGCGTGGCCAGGGTGGGGGATGCAGACAGGAGGCCGGCAGCCCCAGCAGCCAGGGCACCCCGGCTCGGGGACAAGCAGGAGGCTGAGGAAGGCTTTAGAGGACCCGGGCTCTGCCCTGCTTTAGCGGCATAAGCGTCAGGGGCTGCAGGGGCACCAGTGATGTCTAGATGGTCTGGAGAGGGAGTGTCTGCCTTGCTGAAAGTGTCAGCCCCAGCCTCAAGTCCTTCAGGTCCCACCTCATCTCTTCCAAGTCTCCACTGGAGCAGGCCCCAGCTCTGTTGGGATGAAGCTCAGGGCATCTCTACCCCATGCTCTGACTCCCAGGAGGGGCCCATCCAGCTCAAGAGAAGGCTATTCCTGGAAATGAGCCACAGGGTGATGGAGGGAGGTCACAGGCACAAGAGGAAAGCAGTTGGTGATGAGAAGCTGTGCTGGCCTGGGGTCTGGCAGTGCTCTCATGTAATGCTCACCTAGAAGGTAAGAGGCCTCCCCAGGTTCTGGGGAGCCCAGGTTGCCCCTTTAGCCAGGGGAGAGGGGAGGACACACAGTTCAGGGGACCTGGCTTGATGGGGGATGCTGTGGGGATAATGGCTCCAAGATGCAGAAAGAAGGCAGTGAGGTAGCACCTGAACATGCAGTGAGGCAGTGCCTGAACACGTGGCCTTCCTCAGGAGTCACACGCAGTGAGTGGGAGCCAGGGGCATCCCCAGGCTGAGGCGCCAGGATGCTGAGTGTGAGGGTAGCAGAGCCATGGCTGGTCCCCACGGGAGGTGGAGCAGAGGAGAGCCCCGTGGCAGGCCTCGCCGGACTGAGTGGAGCCACCCTTAGCATGAAGGTCCCTAAACCACACCAAGTGACCCCTGAGGCCCATGGTCTGTGTGGTGGGGAGGCCACAGACACCCCAATTCTCAGAATGCAACAACCAAGTTCTGGGCACAGGCTGAGCACCAAGTATCAGCAAATAGATCCTCAGTCATCTGCCTGGTATCCCTCCTCACTTGCTCTATCACCTAGGCTCAACCCCAAGAGACCGAGAGCCTGGCTCAGCTTGGAGGCTACATCCAGGTCAGTGTGTGGGCAGCAGACAGAGGAGGGGGCGCAGGGAATGCACGGGCAAGAGGGGTCATTGGGCAGGATGTGGAGTCGATGCTCTGACTTTGAGGGCCCTGCCTACCTCAGCTGTTTCCTCTGGAAGGCTGGCTCTGGCCTCCTCTCTCCATGCTCCTAAGCAGCAGCTCTCAGGGATGGGCGAGATGGCAGGGACTTGCCTTTTGTGTGCATTTAGAGACTCATAAGCCACAGCAACTGGTCAGCCCTTAAAGAGGCAGCCCAGACCCTCATTCAACAGAGGAAGAAACTGAGGCCCAGAGAGGTGACATTCACGCCCAAGGTCACCCAGTCAGTGGGCAGGGGAGCAAGGGTTTGCCTCCAAGCCTGGAGCCTAGACTCTGTACTTCCCTACTTCTCTCCCTGTGACGGCTATTTGTCCGCTAAACCACCAGGTCCTGGAAGGCCTCTTTTGTGGCCACAGTGCTATAGAGGCAGGAAGGCGCAGTGTTTAAGAGCACAGGCTGCAGAGAACAACCTCCCAGATTCAAATCCAGGGACTGACACTGGCTGTGCCAATGTCGGCACATTTTCAAATCTCTCTGCTTCGGTTTCTCACAGATGAACTAGGTATGATAACAGCATTACCACCCAGAGTTGTTGGAAAGATTAGTTTGACAAATCCCTGGGCTGGGAGCAGTCTCTTTTGCCGACACTTATGTCTCACTTCACAATTAATATTGCCCCTTTGCTCCCTGCCTGTGGTCAGATCAGCCTGTGGCCTGATGGTGTTACCAGTGAGGAGGCTGGAGAAGCCTGGGCTGCCTGCAAGATCTCCCTCTGTCCTGGGGTTTCTTTCATTGGTGATGAAACAGCCAACCGAATGGCTGGCTCTGTGGAGGTAACCCCAGGAGGCAGGGGGGTAGGTGGCTGCCTGTCTGTTGCCACTCAGAGCACCAGCAAGGACTTCCACGTCCCTGTGCACAGGAGTACCCTAGGCACATGGAGGACCTCAGCCACCATCTCCTCCCTGATGCTGATTCAGTGTCAGACAGGGTTGGCGAAGCTGTGATCTGCCCAGAGGAGAAGAGGGGAAGGTATAGGGAGACACCTAAGGCAGCACCTTCCCTCTCTCCTGGGGCTGGAGCGAGGGCCCATCTTGGCCTCTGAGGGTTCCCTCTGCCCTGATCCTCTCTGGACAAACAGCAGCAGACAAAGTAAGTGCCCAGGGATCCGGCTGCCTTCTCAGCTCATGCCCGGGATCTAACAAGCCCTGGGTCGCCATCTGATATGAAATCCTCCCCAACCCTTGCACAGGCAATGGATGACATAGTCCTGGCCTGAGGCTTCGTGGCAGATGGGGCCGCCGCGGACCTGACCAGGTACTCCCAGAGAGAAAGAAGTGGCACAGAGTGGGAGGGACAGGGGGTGGTGGGGAGATCCCCAGACACACAGTGAGTATCATTTTACTTGTCTGAATGCTGTCTGATAAACCACCATCCTCTTCAACATCTCCTGTGGCTGCCGGGGAGGAAAAAAAGTTCCACACTGGATATTACCAATAGGTCTTGGCTGCCCTCTGGTGCCAGGCCTCAGGCCTGCCAGCCTAGGGCTGCCCTGCTAAGGTCCCTCCCTGAGCAGACAGTCTGGCTCATGTTAAGGGACTACTCAACACCCAAAGATGCTACCCAGTTGTTGTCAAGCAAACACCACCTCTTGACGTCAGCCAGAGAACATGACATGAATGCATCGGCAGGCTATCCCAGGAGCAAAAACTTTGCTCTCTGGGGAGCTGATGGGACAGTTAAGGCCCAAAATAAATATCTCAGCTGTCCTGCCCTGACATTTGGATAGAGTTTCCTTGAAAGGGAAGTTAAAATTCTGACATGACTCTTGTCACTGTGCATGGGAGGCCAGTCAGTGGTCAGCACCTCTGGATGGTGCACATGAATCCCAGCTCCCTTAGCAGTCAGTAACAGGCCAGCAGACCCTTCCATTTCACCAGGACCTCACCTCAGACTCCTAGTCCTGAGGAGAGGTGAGAAGTGAGTTGGAGGAAGGGATTGGACCTGCTCTGGCCAGTGCCCCATCTGAGGGTGTTTCACGCCAGGCCACAACAGGCCTTAGGGCCGGGGCCAGGGCACCTGGAATCTCTGTAGGTTTTGGCAATATGGCAGTGAGGATAAGAGTGTGGACTTTGGAGTCTGAAAGGCGTGAGGGTAAGTATGAAGTTCAGGCTCTGCCTGGGGGCACCTGGTGCCCCTCTGGTAACCTCTCTAAACCTCCCTTTCCTTGAATGTTAAACAGGATGTCCCCAGGAACCATCTCACAGTACTGCTGTGAGGATTCATTGAGGCTGTACAAAATGTCTACACGTGGGAGGCTCTTCACAGGTCTTATTGGTTATTATTACTTTTAGACAGAGCTCCAGGCTGTTTAGTCAAGTAGGGAACAGAAATTCCACTGGTCATGTCAACATCTGCTTACACCTATGTGGCCTCAACTCGTGGCCAATAAGAAGGTTACAAGATGGCATCTGTGATCTGCGTTTTTGTCCCACCTCACTTGCCCTCCAGAGAAAGCAGAACCCAGGGTGGGTAGCCCTCGTCTGCTCCTCTAGAGATGACCCAGAGGGGGCCCAAGGGGCTTACCAGAACTTCAGATTTCACAGCTGGCCTGTAGATGAAATTGGGTTCCTGGTGGACCATGACAGGTTTGGAGATGGTGGACACGCCAGGGCCTCGTGGAGGCTGTGGGCTTGGGCAAAATGTCTACAGGGGTTAGTTTAACAGGGACCCAGGTGAGGTCATGGTGGGGTGGCCGAGGCCAGTCATGCTACGTCTACATACATGCAAATCTACACCCATGCACATGCTAAGCCAGCCTGGTCCATGCAACCTGCTGGAGGTCCTAGGGGTGTGATCTTCAGCAGAGGGATGAGAAGTCCATTGGCCACAGTGTGGGCTGAGACCACAGAAACTACCGAGTGGTTCTAAAAAATCAGGTGCTTGAGTTAGCGCATGGCTTGTGGGTGCTAGTAGCCAGTGTCACTCAGGAGACACACCTTCAGACCCCTCTCTCAGTGGCCATGGGTGCTATCCAGTGTCCCCTGTCTTTAAGGGCTCTCTCTTCTGCCACAGTTCCAGTTCCTGAAGCATCTGCCATTCCTAGTGGGTGGGGGCACATAGTATCTAGAGGCCATAGGGTGAGGACCAGTAAGGGTGGCATCCAGGAGAGCTGATGCAACCTGTCTGCTCGGCTCTAACCCACTTGAACATCTTGGGCAAGTTGTATCTAATCAGTTCACAACCCTGCCCCAAACCCTCCCAAGAGTCTCCATTGACTACTGAGCTCATTGGCTTGACCCCCAGGCCTTTCTCCTTGACCCCCAGGAGGTAGACGTCCTCTACCTTCCTTTTCAGCCTCATCTCTCACTCCTTGCCACCCTCATCGCGTTGCCTAACTTTAGCCTCCAAAATGCCAGGCTTTCTTGACTTGAGGCCATTGCATGTGCTCTCTCCTTCTTCCGCATTACCTTCCAGGTCTTAACGTGGGCAACAGTGCCTTCAGGAACCCTCCCTTGAGATTTTGCTCTCCTCCACCCCTCTTCTTTATTACAGCCCCTGTGCTTCCTCTGTGTCCACCCTGGTGGTGTGGCAGTTGCCTGCTTACTTTGCTTCGTTCCCCACCAGCCTGTCTTGAGCAGGGAAACTGCAGCTGTCTATGTAGCAGGGATTCCCAGTGCACTGCATAGTGCCCTGGCATATAGTAGGTGCTCAATAAGCATGCACTGAATGAATAAATGAATGACTAAATAGTACAGTAAGCACATGGGACAGTGCCTGTGGATAGATTTGGCCCTGAAAACCACTCGATAGCAGATGCCGGTGTGGCAGGCACAAGTGTCAAGCCAACACAGGTGTTCATTTCCACGACTTGGGGCCTGCTGGTGGCTGGGCTGACTGTGTGGTCACCCACACATCCTGCTGCAGCACTGATGACAGCTTGCCAGGGGTGGCAGGGAGGAGGAGTTTGGGCAGGGTAGGTGGTACAGGGGTGAGAGATGGGCCAGATGAAGCCAACCAAAAAACAGCCCCCTGGCCTTTGAGGCTGGGACAACCCTGGCTTCGATGTCACTAAAGACATTTTGGGTCCAGTTCTTCAGGGGCTCCTTGTGTTGTTCGGGGTAGGGGGGCTTTTAACCTTCCCTGGGCTCTGATCAAGAACTAACAGTGGGAACTTGGCAATGCCGTGAAGAATCAGAGAAAGCTAGACTCTGTCTTGAATCTTGACCCTAAATGAAAGTTTTGCTGAGATTAACGGAGATTGCTAAGATCCCAGGTTTGCAGCTTCACCCAAATCTTCCTGTACTCTGAACTGTCAATAACCATAGTTAACGTCTACTGAACACCCATGATGTGCCTGCCACCCTTGCCATCTTGGAATGTGTTCATGTATTAACTCATCTGATTCGAATAGGTGGCTGCCATTAGCATTCTTATTTTTGAACAGGGATGACCAGGCTCAGATAGATGAAGTAGCATGTGTTCAAAGTCACCCAGCTAGTAAGTAGCAGAGCCGGGATTCAAACCCATGCAGTCCGACTCCCTGTAGCTCCAACTGGCCGTCTTTATGTTCCCTGCACTTGCAATGCCCTTGCTGCCATCCTCCATGTATTGCCATTCCTCGAGGCTCAGCTCGTAAGCCCTCTACTCCATGGAGCTGTCTTCAGCCTTTGGTTAGAATGAATCCCTCCCACACTGCATGGCCTATCCATATTTTACCGCAGAAGCCTGCCTGGGCAGCAGCTCTTCTGTCACATGGTGAAGTCCTGGAAAGCACAGGCATGGCAATCTCCTTTGCATCCTCTTCGGCACTGTTCCTCTCTCTCTTTCGCAAAGAGAGGCCCCAGGCAGGTACTCAATCAATGTGGACTCAGCTTTGTTGAGGAAAAGCTACTGCTCATCTTGATGGAGGCAACTTACAGAGAAGAATGTTGTGCAAAGCTAACTGAGCCCTAGAAACCAGATCCTGGCTGGGCTCTGGGAGAAGATGTCCCAGGAATAGGCAGATATCTTCCTATCAAAGCTGCAGGGCTCACGACCCCAACCAGAGCTCCAGAAAGGGTCCCTCTGAGAGTTTTCTGCTGGAGGCTGCAGCCTTGCTGGCATCCGGCACTGTCTTCACTGCCACCTTCCTTCCCCTAAGCTCTCCTGAGTGCTCTGAGATGTTGTCCTTCTCTCCATTAAAGAACTGAAAGCCATGCAGGGCAGGTTAATAAAAACCACTGGTCAGGTGCTATTATTCACTATGCCCTCCCTCAGCAGCCCCTGCTACCCTCAGCTGACATAAACTGCTTTTGCACTGACTCAAGCCTGGTCTCGTGGCTACAGGAGCAGAATAATATTTTGTTTTTCCCTTCATGGGATCCAAGCTTCATGTCTTCCTCCGAGATTGCATATTTCAAAAGTCTTTGGATTACGAATGATTAATAAAAAATGTTTTTTTCAGAGAGACACTTTATCTTCCCAACATCCAAGAAAAACATTCCTATTCTTTTAGTAGTAAATTTGGAGATTTCTAGGAACTCTCCCATCTTCATTTTTTCTATAGCTGAAAATTGGCCAGAAATTTCTGGGTATTACACTTCAAGCCAGTGCAGTTGGCCAGTAGCATAGAAAAGGGCACTGGAATGTCCTAATACTGCATTTGACAGTACAGTGTTATCACTTCATTTACAGAGCCTAGTACTTCTCTACTGCTTCCTCCTCCCCTCCCTTTTTTCCTGTCAAATCGGGAGTCATTTCCCATATTCAAGTCTTCCTGGGATAAGAAGTGGAAATGACTGGATGTGAGAGTGCTTGTATTCATTAACATAGCCGTGCAAGAACGACGTGGAAAGTTACCAGCCTATGCTAGCAAAGAAGAGCTACCAGAGAGCAATGAATATTAAATGGATACACACTGTTGCTTACCCCAAAGGTCCCAGGCCATTCACATACAGTATAGCACTTCAAAATCTGTAGGAATCATATACATGCAGGATGTCCACACATGCACACGGAGGGGGCATTCCTGGAAAATGAGGTGAGACGATGTTTCTTTCTGTCCCCACTCTCAGGAGCAGCGGAGGACATGGGAAACAGCAGTTCTCCCCATTCTTCCTGCTTCCAAGCATAGCATGCAGAACAGGGCAGTACCTTTGCGGTGGTGAAGCTGCGTTCAGGGACAGGGGAGTTGGTGGGCTTCCCACTGTGGTTCTTTCCCTCCCAGTCCTCCGCTGGACTGCCTGTGTCCCCAGTGCGGAAGGGATGGTTGCCCAGTGCTTCTTCCAGCGCCGAGGGCAGTGGGCGGGTGGGAGTGAGGTCTTGGGTGGGAACGGATGGCGGGGGAGGGATGGGAATGGGGGGTGGAGTGCGCTGCACCCAGGGGGAGGATGAGGTGCTCACATGGCCAGATGAGGGGAGGACAGGTGGTGCCGGGACCTTGTGGGGTGGGTTGGAGGATGGAGGGTGGGGCATCACTGGCAGAGCAGAGGGAGTCTTGGGGGGATAGTAGAACATGTCCAAAGGGATGTCGTCCAGGTCAGTGGTGTGCAGGTGCAGTCCGCCTGCAAAGCGTCTCAACGGTGGGGCCAGGGGAGAAACAGAAGGCGGAGGAGGTGGGGGCCCTGTGGTCATCTGGGGGAGGGTTGCAAGAAGGTTCTGTAACTGTCACTCTGATTAGTGCTCCACTTCACATCGAGCGCTATGCTCTTCTAATCTGTTTCTCTTGCTACTGGAGACCCACCACTCTTAAACCAGAACCGTGGGGTGCTATTCCTCTGCCACCTCGATGCCCAGCTGAGCCCATACTAGGCTGCTGGTAGGGAGTGTCCAAATGCAGTGGAGCCCCTGAGTTATGGCATCTGTAGGTGGTAAGGTGTTCACATAGTTCATCCTCTAAATTGGAACGCCTTAGAGCGTGTAAGGGGCACGCTTAGCCATAATGCCAGGACAACATCCCTAACTGGGGCCATCTCAGATGAGCTGGGACTTAGTGATCACTCTGGAAATACACCCAGAAATACAGACATATCCCTCCTCCTCAAGAGGGGAGTGGGCTGGAAGGGGTGGGCCTGGACAGAGGACGGGCCCCTGTGAGGCTGGTGATACTTGCTAGTGGCCATCTCATCTCCCACTGTCCGCACAGTGGGTCATTCTGAAGGCAGCAGGAGGGTCTGTGTGGAAAGAAGGGCTCTGTTACCTCTGAAATCTCATTATCAGCAGAGGAAATCTGCTCAAGGCGAGTCTGACAGAGCCTCTCCACCCAATATTGAATCTTTTCCGATTCTTCAAGGTCTTCCCGCTCTGTCTCAGACACCTGGGACCCAGGATCGGCGCAGAGAGGAGAAGACAAAGGGCACATTAAATAACATGGACAGAAATAGCATGAAAGCACTCCTTCAAAAACTCCAGAGTACTGCGAGGTGCAGCAACTATCTAGAAAGAGACCTGGGCTTGTTCCAACTGGCCCTCAAGGAGGCGGCAACAAGGGAGAAGAGTGTGGCGGGGTGTCAAGTTCACCAAGCAGAACTTGTTGGCAAAATCAGAGAAGGGGTTCATGTATTGTGAGGGATCAGCTGGATCTCAGATCCCCATGAACCCTGAGGCTCTTAAGATTTTCCAAGAATGGTCTTTTCATAGCCTCCCCCAGCACATTCCAAGAGTTTAACTTGACTCTTTTTTTCCCTTCTCTATTGTGCCTTGCCCTCAGAAGCATGAGTTCAGTCTTATTTTTAATTATGTAGCTAATTTGTTCATAATGTCAGACCTAATGCATTTCACATTTTCCAGGACTTCTCTGGTTTTATAATCTAATCAAATTGGCATTCTGATTCATGTATGCGCTAAAGAGAAGCAGAAACAATGATACCTCCTACAGCTAGGGAGTTAAGGTTACCCATCTCACCTAGCATAGAAATTATTCATGGTGTACGGCTGCTTTGGACATGCTTTCAGGGAAACGGCTTCAGATATATTCCTAGGTTGATGAGGTCTAGCCGCAGACATTCCCTATGTTGATGGGAGCAGCCTCAGACTCATCCTGATTAATGGGGAGATAGCCTCAGACCTATCACCTGCATAAAGGGATTAGTTTCAGACCCATACTTCCTGAGCCAAGCTAAGTTGTGGGGGGTGGGGGGATCTTGTCTTAGAATAACCTGGAAAGGGAGGCCAGAGTGATTCAGACCTATGAACAGGTCAGTGGAAGCCTAACTTCTAAGCTACAAGCAAGGCAGAAGAGTTAGACTCAGACCATACTCCGAGTAGCCTCAGAGCCATACCTAAGATGGAGAGGCCTAGACTTAGACTCTGGTGTGGTGGAGTGAAGAGGACAGACTCACGCCTCTAAGCCGGGTGTATCATGGGCTAACCTGAGACCTAACATCTGGTCAGAGAGGCTAACCTCAGACATACCCCCAAGCAAGGAGGCTAGTCTCAATTCCAAACATGCTGTAAGCCAGGAGCTAACCTCAGATGGCCCTGGGCAGGTGGCATGATCTCTCTCTCTCCAGGCTGGAGAGCGGGGAGGGGCTCACTCCACCCTTGTGTGTCATCTGGGGAGAACAACTCCAGCTGGTCCTCTGGGAGCATGTGGGGAACAATCACATTGTGTCCCAGGGACGCTCGCCTGGCCTGCAGGCAGGACACGTACCTCCTGGGCCAGCCGGTTGATCTTTAGCTGCTTTTCCTTCTCCAGCATTTCCTCTTTCTCTTTGTAAAGCTTTTGCTCAAACTCCAGTTCCTTCTTATTCTTTCTCAAGTCCTGCAGGCTGTCATACTTGGCTTTCTTCTTATCTTTTCCTTTCTGAGTAGATGTGGCATTGTTTGTATGAGGATTGCAAGGAGTATCAACGCTAGCACAGCACAGCACACAGGCATCCAGGCCTCAGGTAGCACAACCGTCCCACGGTGAGCCCCTCCCCCAGCTCTGCCTCACCGCACTGGAGATCAGACCTCAGCTTCAGGACAGGAAGGCCACTGCTACCCACTGCAGAGTGGGAGACACATTCTCTTTACCAGCCAGAAAGACTAGCTTATTAGTTTACCAACTAGCTGTGTGACCTTGGCTAAGTTCCTTAACCTCTCTGTGCCTGATTTGCCTCATCTCCCAAATGGTAAAAATATCTCCTCCACAGGCTTGTCACCCAGTGCCAATGAAATGACATCTATGAAAGAACTTTGTAAAAGTTCTGTATAAATAAAAAATAAATAAGTACTGTATAAATAAAGGGCATTGCATTGATTTCCCCGTATCCGGCACATGCCTTCTATACAGCACCTCATGCTCAGATTCAGGAGCCTCCAGAGAAAAACTGGGAGGGCTGGCAAGCCCCAATCACAGAGGTCCTGTCCTAAGCCACACGCAGACCTGGGGGCTCAGAGCCAGGGATATCAGATTTTTCCCGGGTGCTTCAGCTCTGGACCATTTCATCCTGGTGAGTCTAGACCCACAGTTTCCTCTGAACTGGACCCCTCTACTGAGGGCTAGCTGGAAACTGCGGGACTGGGAGGCAGGGGATGGAGAGGATGGCCTAAGTGCTTTACACCCACCATCAGGTTCTGGAGGATTTGGGGAGGGACGTGAAAGGCAAATAGACTCTTTATTTTTCCTGTAGGAACTAGACCCACCGACCCTGCATTCTTGGCCGCTTCCCTCATGGGGCTGCAGAGAAGCCAGGGGCTAAGGCGGGAAGAGAATGATGATTTATGAACTGCCTATGTGCCAAGGGATTTACATCAATAGTCTCCCATGTAGGTTTATCTTCATTCTTTGATGAAGGAGCTGAGGCTCAGAGAAGTAAAGTCCCTTGTGCAATATCAGACATCTCATAAGCGATGGTGCCAGGATTTGGACCTGAGTCTTTGAGGTCCCAGTTTTTCTACAGTGCCCCTATGAGCTGGGGGCAAGGGAAACACTGCAGGAGGGAGGGAGTGTCAGCCCCCGTCATGCACAGTGTGGAGGACAGAGCGAGCACTCAGGAGAGGGGCAGCAGAGACAGCCCACACCCTGCGCAATTTCTGGGGTAAGGAGGAAACGCCCTGTTCACTGAGCTCACCTCCACCCCAAACAAGCCTTCTGGTGATCTGCTCTCAAATTTCCTAAATCAACTGAGCATCCAAGGCCAGGAATGAGGAACTGAGCTCCCTAACCATGGACACAGAACTTTCGTCCACAGCTGGTGGGACTTGGTGGGACTTGGTGAGACCTCTGAGGGACTCTTCCTAGCTCCTCTCCTAAAGACACACGCTTCTGTGCACTGCTAATGTGCTCCAGAAATGGTCGCCTCTGGGACCCACCTCCAGAGCAGTGTATGAGCCTCTTGAGAAAATGGTTCTCCCTGCTTCAGAGTCTTGCTTGCTTCATTGCCTACCTCACTCCCTAGACTCCTAGCTCAGTGGACAGATGAATCCCTGCCATTGTGGTAGAGATTCAGACAGCAATTTCCCAACAGGAGCCAGAGACACTGCCTAATGACAGCTTGCTAGAGTCAGAGCCTGGCCTCCCCCAGGGACACTATGAGAGAAATGACCATTCTGCTGCTTTACAAAAAACTGCTAGTGCTGGGATTATAGAATCAGGGCTTCTGGGCAGGGCAGTAGACAGTTTCTGTCTCATGCCCAAGAAAGTCACATCTGTCCAGATGCAGAGGGCAAGCTGCCCCGTGGCATTTCCCACTGATTTCAGACTAGCCCCACACAGGTTACCTAGCTGTGTGTGAATCTGCCTCCCCTGTCAGACTGTGGGCTCCCGCAGGTAGGGCTGGTCTATTTCAGTGACTCAAGCAATTCTGGTGAAAGGGCTTAGTCAGAATCATGAACCCTTCAGGCCCTGGCATAAATTTTATGGGGCCAAAAGCCTGGAAACCTTGAGCCTCAGAGGGATTTACTGCCACAGTGGAAATAGAAGACGCTGAATCTTTATATTATTATTATTATTTTCCTGAGAGAGGGTCTTGTTCTGTCACCCAGGCTGGAGTGCAGTGATGTGATCTTGGCTCACTGCAGCCTCTGCCTTCTGGGTTCAAGTGATTCTCCTGCCTCAGCCACCCAAGTAGCTGGGATTACAGGCATGTGCCACCGTGCTGGGCTAAATTTTTGAATTTTTAATAGAGACAGGGTTTCACTATGTTGGCCAGGCTGGTCATGAACTCCCAGTGTCAGGTGATCCACCTGTCTCAGCCTCCCAAAGTGCTGGTATTACAGGCGTGAGCTGAATCTTTATATTTTTAAATAAAGGGAATTTATTCACTGATGATAATGGCCATGGATGCCTGCCTGTATTTCCTGGGGACTTGGTGTTCCAGCTGCTGGGAGACAAAGAGTCTCTCATGGCTCCAGAAAAAATGACGATGGGTTTTCAGAGCCGGCATGAGGGGCAGGGTTCTGTTGTCCTTCCAGCTGTCAGTTACATCCATGGCCTGTCAGTTACAATATTCCTTTTGGTCCAGACTGAGAGGGGAGACAGATGGGGTGATTGTGCTATTGATTCTACCCAGAAGCAATTTTTCTCTTTTTTGGAAGTAAAAATGAAAACCAAAATGCCAGCTGTTTCTGGAGTAAGTAGACTAAGGGATAGGGGAAAGGCTGCCCTCACTATCACCAGCGCTTGCAAGGACGTGATTTCTGATGGGAGGTGGTATGTGTGGAAGACTCTAGTTCTTTTACATTTACATGTTATCAGTACCTGAAAAGATTGGACATATCTGCCTCCTTTATTGTTTTTTTCGTGTAAAATCCTATGTGTGGTTTTGTGTGTGCATGATTGTGTGTGTGTGTGTGTTTTGTCCTCTCTAGCTGAGTTCTCATGGAGGCAGCATATAGAGAAGAATTAGAAATCAAACCCAGTGAGGCATCCTAAGCCACCAAAGTCAGCCTGTCAAATGAAACAGACAGTCTTATGAGACCAAGGCCTTTCTGAGGCCATGGCAATGTGGGAAGGAATTCCCTGAGGACCTCTGTTCCAAGTTTATTCAACGCTGTACAAATCATGATCTATGTTCCTAGATAAAGGCACTTACCTCTTCAGGAAAAATATTACTGTCAGTTATTTTAATAGCAATGTGCTGGAGGAAGGGGGTAGACTTTCCTGGCACAGTTAAGATTCCCATTTCACAGGCAGAGAGAAGTTACATATCATCAAGGTCACTCAGCTGCCAGTGCTCTGGTTTCTGGAGAACCAACATCTTGCCAGCGAGTGCTGGTCAAGTGATCACATTCAATTTAGCTCACCCAGATTTATGCTGATGCCTGACTTCCAAACACCCAGGCATCTCAAATGTCCAATTACAGATATTAACAGCAGTGTTTTCACAGTCAAATGTCAATGTGATTTAGAACGACAAGGACAGGAGAGTTTTACAAGGCCTGGAGATATTGCAATAGGATTTAGAGAGAAAATTAAAGGTCCTAGAGACTGGAAAATGCATTATCCTGGGCACATGCAGAGAGATTCCTAGGAGAGGGCTGTGCTTGGTGTAGGCCTCTGTCCTGACTTGAGGCAGCAAATCCCCACCTCGCCAGCCAGGCTGCGTCTGGCACAGCCGGTCTCATAACATGCACTATGTACACCCACCCCGGTAATTCGCTCTGTCTGACCCCAGGCTTCTGGCCTTGGCATCTAGTTCTACTTGTCAGAGAAACACAGGAGAAGCTTCCTGCCCCTTCCCTGTGCCCATCAGGGTCGGTGCTGATGCACACGGTGCCAGATGGTCCTTGGGCAGGTCTCATGCCATGAATACCTCCTCCAGTATTGCCTTTGCAACGGCACGCAGCCATTTGATGTCAGCCTGACACAGAGACGCAGATGGGGTTAGCCTTCCGAGTGAACAGGCCAAGGCACACCATTTAGTGTTGACAGGACAAGCAACGTTTGGGAAAAGCCAAAACCCACAGCAAACTCAGCAGCACGCCAGCACGGCACCCAGCCCTGTCCTACCTTCCGGATGGTTGGGAATTTGCCATCATAACGATAAAACCACCCAAAAGCTATAAGAACACAGAGAACAAAATGATGAGACACAGCTCAGCTCAGTTCAGCCAGAGTGTCCATGGGCAGCAGACGGGAGCTGGGTTCCCAAGGAATGCATGGCTTTGTGAGATGAACAGCATTGGCAGATCTGACAGCAAAACTGCACCCTCTGTCCAACCGTCTGCTCACCTGGCCTCACCTGCGTTGCAGAACAGGCCCAAGACCACCTGAGAAAAGCCCTGGTTCCCAGACCCTGGGTCACTCTCAGACGCCTCTCCCCAGAACACTGGCTTCAGAAGTCAGGGCCAGAACATCAAAGAGAAAACCCCTGTGGAAGGACACGCTTTTCCAAATCACAGTCTTCACATACAAAGCCTTGTTGAAAGAGAACAAGGCCTTTTCTAACCCATGTCTGGTCCCTCCATCCAAGAAATGGCTCGAGACAAAAGGGAGCCTGGGTGTTTGCCTAGAACTGTTGTTCAACAGAACAAAACTGGCTTGTCTCATAGCACAGGCCAAGTCCTCTGCTTTCAACACCAAAAGGGAAGGCAGTGGCTGGGGCAAGTCTGGGATGGACGGCTCCAGCAGGAGTGGGCAGGAGATGTGCTCCCAGAAAACACATCCTCATCCAGGCCAGATAACCAGTGCACCAGCCCCCTTCCTGCCCCAGGCCACGGCTCCACAGAGTAATACCCCCAATCCGAAGCTTCCTGGGGCCAAGAGTGATGGCTGAATTACCCACTCCAGGCCAGCCTAAATGCTGGAACACGATGCTGAAAGCCTCCTGATGGACCAGAGACTACCTCCTTAGTTGCTGGATCTGGGTGTGGTCTAGGGGGTTCTGGAGGAGAGGCCAGAGCAGCAAAGGGCAATTTGGGCAGTATCTAAATACTTGAGCCAGCGGTTCAGTGGTACCAGTGTGTAACAGCTGATCTACTAGCATGGCCATTGAATCCTGTCCTCTAGGCTTTATGTACGGTGCTTGGGCCAAGCCAGGGCTTCAGGGAGCTTTGTAGACTCCAGCGGTCCCCATACATGCCGGTCCCTATACATGCTGGTCCCCTGAATCTGGGTGTCTGTACTGAGGTCAGGAGGAGGTGGGCAGGGCAAGCAGAGCAGCCAGGCTAGGGAGCAAAGCGGGGGCGCGAACCTGCTCTCCCCGCTCCTCCGTGCCTCCGTCAGGGTCGTCTGCGGGCTCGAGCTCAGGCTCCACTCCCTGATCATCTACCCGGGGAAAAGAGGAGGAAGCTGGTGAACCAAGAGAGACTTGGGAGACCATGAGGCCAGAGAAGCTTCTCAGGAGTGTGGGGACCTATGATCAGCTTCCTCCAGGGAAGCTGTGAGGTGAGGGGCAGGGGACAGAGTTCAGGAGTGCAGAGCAAAGGTTTTTCGCTCTGAGCTGGTGCATACAGTGCTTTCAACCTTGGCAGCTTTAATTTCTCTGTCTGCACAAAGGGCTAACAACAGGAAACTCAGCTCTGAGGGCAGTGTGAGAACTATTTTGTAGGGTGTTGGGCTGAAGGTTGGGAAGTGCAGTGAGGAGGATGGGAATATCTGTTAACTGCACAGGTTTGAGGACAAGGCGCTGCGACGGGAGAGCAGATCCTCCTGCCTTCTGCTTATCACCCTTGCCTTGGAGCTCTGGGTCCTCAGGGGATGTCTGAACAGTCTGGGCAGCAGGTGGAGGCTGAAGGTCTTGAGGAGGTGGGGATATCCCAAAAGGTAAAAGGGGTACATGTGGTTAGGAAGACCTGAATTTTGACATAATGTGGAGAGAAGAGCAAACTCTCCATTCCAGCGTTTCCGGCTTGGACTCTGGCCTCCCTAGGACCCTGGAAGGTAGTGTACCAGTTTGCTTGTGAGCTGCTTTTTAATATTTCAAAAGCTTAACAGAACTTGCCCATTGGCCTGTGCAAAGCCTCTTAAGTTCTTTTGCTCTTCGCTCAAATTACATTTACCCAACAGTGGAACCTGGATGCTCCCTTGTTAACAAGGACTACTTAATACAATAATGGAACACAATTATTTAATAGTTTTAAAGGAAAATAACCTCAACTTCCAAATCATGGGGTCTCTTGTGGTGGAGGTTGGGAAGATAGTGATGGGGCCCTGGATATGGAGAGCAGGTTGGAGATCTCGGATTTAACCCTCCCCATCTTTCAGGAATCCTTCAGCTACTGGGTCCTTAATCAAGATTGCCCGTCCCCCACCTCCATGCAACCACCTCTTGCCTAAGCTAAGGAAAGGAGCTTCTGTGGTGGTTTCCTGGTCTTCAGGACTTGGCAAAATGTTGGGGACTACTGGATTAGCCATGGGTAGGTGGGAAGAAGCAATTGTAAGAGCCCTCTGGGACAGACTTGGGGGGCAGTCAGCCCCAGGCCTATCATTAGGATGAGTGACTTCACTTTCCAGATAAGAGACGCTCTGTGCTCTTTTATTTTAAAAAATGCAGGGCTGATCCCTTGCAGGCACAGAAGCCTGAGTCAGGAATAGCCTGTTGCAAGCTAGTTCCCCAAGTTGAAGGGTGGTTGGGTAGGCACTGGCTGGGGCCCAGGCCTGCTGGACCAACTCAGCCAAGACCATGTCAGCCCCCAGGGAACAGGGAATGAGGCGGGAGGGGAGCTGGCTCAGGGACCTCACTGCATTTCCTGCCTTAGGTCCAAATGAGAATTAAATCGCCGGTGCATACCGAGATGGATGGAGGCAGCAGCTGTCCCAACTCAGCGGGCAGGTGGGGGTCATCCATCCTGTGCTTTGTGGAGCTGCCTAAGATTACATTTACCTTGAGCAAAGGCAAAATTCTTTCTCTTTTTATTCAAGGAGCTTGATTTGGTTAAAAAGCACTAAATAAATAACCAGCGAGTGAAAGGGTTTTTATTTTCTGTTGCTCCTGAGAGCATGTGTTTGCTGTGAAGCGGAGACCCAATTTCTTGAAAGGTACCAAATTGACTAGGATTACTTCCATGAGAAGCAATTAAAATCGATTTCTCTCCTGCAGCTCCTATTGCACTCATAAGAGCAAATTAGCTGCCCGTCTAAAACACGGATCATTCATCAGGAACTTAGTTCTGGCCACAACCTCAACTGATACCGAATGTCACGGGGGAGGCTGATGAGAATGTGCTTTGTCCTTCTGAGAGGACCAGGGGATGACACTGCCCTGCTGCCAGGAAGAAATGTGTTGGGAATTGTTTGCCTGCACCAGGGCGGGGTGAAATGGAAGCGTCCACATGTCCTGCACCTCTTCCCTTGGTGCAAGTGGCCTGTGCTGGCAGGTTGACATTCCCATAGGTTTTAGATGTGACCCAAAGTTGGGGACAGAGCTGTCCAGACCCCAGCACAACATGCCGAATGGCTGCCCCACAGAAAAGTTGGGGAATCTGGGCCCTTGAGTCCAGATTTGCCCCTGGCGGGAGGTTCCCAGGGCAGCTGAGCACAATCAGCGGGAGTAGGGCCTGTCCTGTTTCGACTGTAAGTCAAAACAGCTGGAAGGTGGGAGTAAGGACCCAACCAGCAGTCCTGGACTTGTGGTTGTCATGGCCCCCGTTTTCCTCCATCAGTGTGTGCTGTCTCTTAAAGAGGCCTCTGGAAGTTGGTGTGGAGAAGTTGGTCAGGGAGCAGGTGGAAGTGGGGACATGGGACAGATGAAGAGAGGCGATGGTAAGGAGAGCATGAGCGGAGGCCCCAGGATAGCACAGCTGCAGCCCACAGCTGGGTGCCTGGGAGGGGTCTCCTAGTCCTGTGTCTGCCTCGATCCCTGGAGGGGGGTGACAGTGGTCCACCTACAGGGGTGTAGGGGCTGAAGACTCTTGGCAATCTCCTCCCACAGTTATGCATCAACCTTGGACCACCAGAGCCCTTCTCTAATGTGAGCTCCTTCCTCTCTTTTCTGCTGCTGGCTTCCCCCCAAAGCCCCTATTCAGAACCAAGTAGGAGGAGAACCCGGCACCCAAAACACTAAGACAGTAATCCCATGAGTTAGTTTCACTTTTGCCATGGCTCTTACTGCCCCTTCAGCAGCCGACAGCCTGTCCAAGTCAGTGTGGGGACCTGGGAGCTGAGTATGCGGAGCTGGCCCGTGAACGAGGGGATCAGACAGAGTCCTCCTACCTCGATGCCAGGGCAGATGACCTCTGACTCACCGCTGCTCCTCCACGAAGGAACCGCAACCCAGAGCACCCTGGGCTATTCACCTGGGAGGTGGTCGTGAGGGTAGAGGGGCCAGCATTTCTGTCTAGACAGCTTAGTCTTTCCCCCCAGCGCATGAAACTTACACTTTGGCTTGCGAAGAGGTACTGGATGCACCTCAGCGGCGATGGTTTTAGGCAGGAGTAGCCGTTCCTTTGAGCCCCAGTCTTCTTCCCATTGCTTCTTAAACTTCTCTTCCTCCTCTACAATCCTGAAATGAGACCCCCATGCCTGCTGATTGCAGTCAGGACCCTCATAGGCCCACCTCCTGCATATTGGAGAGCCCCAACCAGCCTTGGGAGAAACCCTGTGGTTCTAGCCATGGTGAATCAAACAAAGCCCCAGAGCTTGTATTCTAAATTGAGTGTGAACCCCACCTTGGCAGTTACATGAGACTATGTTCCAGTTACTATAATTTGACGGGCTTTACTACGAATAAAGGAGGACCCACCAGGGGATGAGAGAGCCAGGTAAACCGGTTCTGGAGGCAGCCTCTGGCTGGCTACACTCCCCCGAGCACACAGGTGTCCACCCACAGGCATGCATGGAGACTCACTGTTCCATCTCCTTCCGGTATCTCTCATTTTCCTCTGCTGCCTTCTGGGCAATTTCTTTTCTCCTTCTGAAACGCAAATGCAGATTGTCACGTTTCAGCCTATGCAAGAGAAGTGAACTTTTCCTTACTGTGAATTCCTGATCTGAGAACAGTTTTTTTTGCCAAGCCCCCTTCCTAGAAGGCCTGGACCAGCTTTGGCTGTGGGCCATGTTATCTAACAAAGCCTGAGCCCTGTGCTCTTGAGTGTTTTTGCCTGGCATGGCTGAACAGAGATGCTGGGCTGTGGGAGCAGGGAAGCAGATGCATGTGAAGGCCACACTCCATGCCTAGGTAAGGTAACTGATGACAGGTGGGGCCTGGAGTGACCCCAGGAGCAAAGCAGGGGCTCCTAGCCAAGTGGAATACTCCCAGCTAACTCTGTGATGGGGTAGATGGGGATAGCCTTTCCTCCTTCCTTTTCAAAATACTTTGATTGATTGATTGATTGATTGATTGATTGAGACAAACTCTCACTCTGCACCTAGCAGTGCAGTGGCGTGATCTCGACTCACTGCAACTTCCGCCTCCCAGGTTCAAGCAATTCTCCTGCCTTAGCCTCCCAAGAAGCCGGGATTACAGTCACATGCCACCAAGCCCAGCTAATTTTTTGTATTTTTAGTAGAGACAAGATTTCACCATGTTGGCCAGGATGGTCTCGAACTCCTGACCTCAAACAATCCACCTGCCTCAGCCTCCCAAAGTGCTGGGATTACAGGCATGAGCCACCACACCCAGCCATGAAATACTTTTAAATGCCTAGGATGTATCTGGATCTTGACAGTAGTTTTTGATTTATGAATTGCTCACCCCATTTATTCTCTTAGGCCATCATTTCAATCATCCTGGGTCAGGGTGGCCTTTATCACTACAGGCAGGGCAGTCCTGTGGGGACTTGCCAGATTGCCTGGGGGTGATCTCTGCTTGGCCACATGTGACTTTGGACATAAGTGGCTTCACCTCTCTGAGTATCAGTCTCCACACCTGTAAAATGGGGTTAATACTATCTACCCCCCAGGGCTATAGTGGGAATTAAGAAACAGAAACAAGGCCCTAATACAACACCAGCCTTATGGAGGTACTCTAGATGTTTAAATGCAGTAGTTAATCCTAGCTAGAACCTATTGCTAGTAGGATGCTTATTTTCCATATTCTTGGAATCTTGGAAGTCAGGGGGCTCAGCAGGGAGGAAGGGGCCAGGTGGTCTGAGGCCTAGGATGGATTCGCTGACCTACTACCGAACTCATCTGGTCTGAGGACTGGCCTCTAGGGAGGAGGAGGAAGCCGACTGGGGACGCAGCAGGCAGGAAGCAAGCTGGGTGGGGTCGCATGGTGGGGTGGGAGGCGGGGTGGGGCACACAGGGCCGGCTGCACTCACTGCCGCTCCATCTCCTGCTGCTCCTGGAGGATCTTGTTGGACTCCATCGCCAACCGCTTCTGCATGAGAAGCTCTTGCCGCTGCAGCTCTTGCTGCCGTACCTCTGCCAGCCGCTCCCGATCCGTCATGAACAGCTCCCGGCCCTCGTGAGGAGGAAAGAGGCCCCTTGCTCAGCCCCTGGGGAACCTGGATCCACTGCCACACCCCGGGGGCCGAAATGCAAGCGGTCTTCTCAGCACCATCAGGCGCTGTGGCTCCCGGGATCCCTGACCCAAACTTCTTGCTGGGCAGAAGTCTTCTGCCTCTGCTCTGTCAGAGCTTCAGGGAAGGAGACCTGCCACCCTGGGAGTGTGTGGCAGAGATCAAAGGTCAGAGGGGCTGGGGAGGAGGGTCAAGGGGCTCCCACCAGCTTATTCTGGACTTACAGCTCCAGCTACGATGGAGATGGTCAGGCTGCGGCTACTCTTCAGCACGTTCACGGCCTGTGGGGGCAGGAGGACAGTGGACCGAGGCCTGACAGAACAGAGCAGTCCAGGCAGACAGCACCCAAGGCCCCAGGCTCGAGGGTGGTGGGGGTGAGACGTGGGGTGTGGAGATGACAAGGGCCAGCAGGGGAAGACCCCCACAGCTCACCTCCTTGTGGTCCAGGTTAGAGAAGTCAATGCCGTTGACTTCGACAATCTGGTCCCCTGTCTGGTGGGGAAATGGAAAAGGATTAGTGTATTTGTGCTGTCTGTACACTCACTCATCCGCAGGACAGCTCCCCAGCGGCTCTGGGTCAGATGCTGGGTCTTCAAGTGCCTATATCTCAACTCCCCGTGATGAATGGAGCAGCTGGAAAGCTCTGGTGGGGTGCTGGAGGGCTTAAAGCTGACCCTGCCACCCCCCTCTTCATAACTATCTTATCAGCTATCAAATATTATACCATTACATGTTCATTTCTTTGGCTAAATTTGATGACATTTGCTTTAGAAATCACAGTTTGTAGATGCATGAACCTTGGAGCTTCTCATTTAGCAGAGGCTGTATTGAATCGTCATAACAGAATAGCTAACATTCACTGGTCACTTACAGTGTGCCTGGCACAATTCTATCACGTCTTAATTATTTTAACCCACACAACAACCTTAGAAGAAAGGCTTTATCATCCCCATTTTATAGGTAAGGAAACTGAAGCACAGACACAAGCAGTAACTTGTCCAAAGAAAAGGTTAAGGGTTCCTGCTTTGGGATCGTACCACCTAGGTTTAAATCCCAGCCTTACCATAATAGGGACATGATTTGAAGGAAATCATATACTGTCTCTGGGTCTCAGTTTCCTCATATGTAGAGTGGGGATAATGGTGGTACTTAATCCTCAGAGTTCTTGTGAAGTGTGAAGGGCGTGGAACAATGTCCGATGCAAAAGGACACTGAATGTCTACTCCTTGATTACTATTAGCACATTCCCAAGCTCATGACCAACAACTATCAGAGCTGGGGGGAGGCTGCAGAAGGGGTAAAAGTCCCTGCTCTGTGAAGCCTTCTCTGGGGGGTGGGCTCCTCCTCACTCACTGATCACTGAGAGAGGACCATGTGGAAAGGCACATGCCCCTGTCACCATGGGATCACAGTGTGACCCGATTTCCAGTGGGCCCCCACTGGGGCTGGCCCAGCGTCACTCACCTCCAATCCCACCTCAGCAGACAGGGATCCAGGCTTCACGTGGCTGATGAAGATGCCAGGCTTCTGGATGGAGCCGCTAGAAATGCTGCGGGAGGCAGGAAACGTGTGCTCGAGATACAGGTCACCCATGTCCAGTGCTCAGGACACAGGTCCCCCGTGAGCTCTGGACTGAAGGCCCTCAGCTGCCTACCTGTCTCCCCGTCCAGCCTGATTTCCACTGCTACCCTGGGTGACAGCCACAGAAAACTCCTTGTAATTATTCCTACCCAACCTCTCACCTAATACACCTCATATGTTGTTTCTTTCTTTCTAGCACTTTCCTGTTCATCCCCTCTACAAGGTTTTCATCAGATCCTCTTATTTTTTAGAGACAGGGTCTTGCTCTGTCACCCAGGTTAGGCGTGCGTGATCATAGCTCTCTGCAGCCTCCAACTCCTGGGCTCAAGCAATCCTCCCACCTCAGCCTCCTGACTAGCTGCGACTACAGGTGCGCACCACCATGCCTGGCTCAGATCCCTTATTCTATCCCAAGACTAAGCTAGCTGCTCTGTTCTCAGTGCTCCTATGACATTTATGGCAAGGATGGCACATGTACTGTTATTCTTCCCTCCTAGATTGGTGGCAGAAATCATTAACTGATCACAGCTCTTTCCCACAAGCCTGGATACAGCTTTAGAATCCTTTTCAAAGCAGCACTCCAGGGAGCTGCTACTAATTGATTAGAGATGGCACCTATTTGCCATCCTGGATCCAGAATGTAGTTCCATTCGAGTCCCTATCACCCTATAACTGTTTATGTTGTTGGCTTCTAGATTAGGCTGTTGTCTCCCAGAAAGGAGGGACTTTTTAGTCACTTATGCTTGGCACAAGACATTGAATAAATGTGAATGAAAGGAAGGAACAGGAATAACTTAAATAATAATAGCAGTCCAGCCTGGGCGATAGAGCCAGACCCTGTCTCCAACAAAGAAGTGTTGTCACCCATGGACAGTCACATCCCTCGTGGGCAAGGTTTCCTCAGAAGTGGCAGTGAGGAAGGGCAGAGGGAATAGGGGCCTGCGGGGGTGCACTGGCCACGAATGACCCCAGTGCATGCCCGCCACCCACCTGCAGCCAAGGCCCCGAGAGCCCACCAGGCTGATGAAGACCTTCTTCTCCTTGTTTTCCCAATTCCCGGGTGAGCCCAGGCTGCCTCGCCCGCCCTGAAAGAGACAGGAGCAGAATCACTGAGTGTCCACATGCTTGCAAGCGGCCTCTTGAGCTTGTGGGATCTGCAGGGCGAGCACTGCTGAACCTACACCTCCCGGATTGTCCTTCAGTCCCTGGGGATGTGTCTGTACCACCAGCTGAGAACTGCTGCTCCACGGTGGTGTGCTGGCTGCCCTGGGGCCTGTGTGAAGCCCCTGAGGATGCATCTCTAGGGCAAGCCCTCCCTTCAGGACTGGCCGCCCCTCCTGGAAGATGACCCCACCCAAGCCCCATCACAGGAGGTCTGGCCCTTACCCCGGATTCTGACACAAACTGATCCACATACTGCCACTTGAGGGGCTCATCAGGAGAGCTGATGGGAAGGGAAAATAGATGGGAGGGTGGTTAACGAGAGATATTTGAGGAACGATGACCCAAATTTGATCTACGATGTCTGGAGCCTTCAGCCTTCACTGGCCCAGGAGCAGGGCTGGCATGGTGGTAGCTGGACCTCAGGGCTGTACCAGGACCCTGGGCCCACAGGGAAGAGTTGGCCTGCAGAGGAGGGACCTCTCACCTCTTCACGGGAATCAGGCCGATGTCTGCAGGAGAAAGGCACAGGGGTTAGGGCAGCTCCTCCGCCCTCCCTCCCTTCCCCAGGAGCAGGGTACACCGGCTGCCTACCCGAACCCACCGTCATGGAGCCCTGCCCTGCTCTGGCCTCACTCACGTCTCACTTTGATGGACACAGTTTTCTTGGTTCGGATGAGGTTGATGACCTCTTCATGGGTGCAGGAGGAGATGGAATATCCGTTGATCCGGACGATCTCATCCCCTACCTTGACCACAGAGAGAGGCAGGAAGCGCCAGGTGGAGTGAGCGTCAGGCCTCCAGGCAGACTCACCACCAGATGCTTCCGGCCTGTTCTCCGGAAAAGGGAAGGGTGCCCACCCCCTGGAATAAGCCTTACTCTCAACGAACCCACCCTCCATCAGCTGGGGGGTTCCAGGGCAGGCGGCATGTCCAAGCAGTCTTGCCGCCCCATTTTATAGATGGAGAAACCAAGACAGGGCAAGGGGCACAGCAGGTGTGCAGCAGAGCTGGGAGAAGAACTCAGAACTCTCTGCACCCTCACTCTGGTGCCCCTTTCATCCCATTGGGGCACCATCAGATTCTGGATTCCGTGTAAAGGGTGATCTTTCACTCAGCTTTAAGCTGCTCTTACCAGGACTCTGTCCCACCCTGCCTCTAGGAAGTCAGATCCCTGTCTCTGTTAATTGCTGCAACACTGTAACTAGGTCGGGGTGGGGACCCTCTGTAACTCCCGACCCAAGCTCACATCACCGACACACACACATGATTTCTTTTTCTCCCACTGTATGGAAACTTGATGAACATTTTAACTCTGCTGTGGCCCTGACCTCTGAATTCCTATTTTGGGAGCAAGCAAAGAACGGTGAGTGAGCACAGGGCTTTGGCATCAGATGTGCTGGGTTCAAATCCCTTCTCTTATTATTATTAGCTATGTGACCTTGGGCAAGTCTCTTGAACTCTCTGAACCTGTTTTCCTCATCTGTAAAACAGGGAATACCAAGGTTGCTGTGAGAATGAACTTGTGTACGTAAAGCCAGCCAGTGCCTGGCACACTGTAAACGCTTAATAAATGATTGCTATTGCTATCATGAGTTAGTTCTGATCCCTGAATATGGCTCAGGTCTCTCTTCGCTGGGTTTAAGCCACAGCAGATGGTGAGATGGAGATTCAGGGCCCTGGGCGGCCAGCCCTGGATACAGAGCCGAGGTGAGATTGCCCCCTGCTGGACACTGCCGGCTTCTTCAGGCACCCTGGCCCTGGGGATCAATTCTGGAGCTCCTCATTTAATAACCACAGGGGAGGAGGGACTCTCAGATATCAGCTGAAACTGAGGCCCGAGGAAGTGAGGTTTTGTCCAAGGTCACACAGCCAGTAGCTGCAAAACACAGACTGGCTCCTGGAGAGGATCCCATCTGCAGCCAGTGCAGGTCTGCTAGGACCTTAACTTAAACACACGTGCTCACCCTTTGGAGCCTTGCGGGCACACGTGAGGGACACAACTGGCCTCCCTGTGGGTCTGGGTAGATAGGGTCTGGGAGGACACGCAGCCTCCGAGGGGTCCTCTAGGGCAACTCCTACTCGCTATAGCACTTCCATGGAGTCGCCTTCTCACTATTCCAAGGAACGCTTCCCCCCCCACTCTGGGACACAGACCCAGGTTTCTCAGGGACCTGACAGGAATGGCCAAGGGCTCAAAATGGCACCGAGGTGGGGGCCCACTAAAGAACTCTGTAGGTTTCTGGGAACATCGAATTCCAGGACAGCAGCCAGACTAACAACCCTGCAGGGCAGGAATTTGTATCTCTTGTTTTTAATCAGATGAGGAAACTGAGGCTCTGGGAGGTAAAGTGACTTGCTCAAGGTTACCCCACTAGTAAACAGTGCTGTGGGATTTGAAGTCAGGCCTCCCTGATAGACAAGTGGTGTCTCTTGGGTGTCTGGAAGCAGAAAAGAAGGGCACCTGGCCAGCCTGGCTGCCATTGCCTGCACTCTGCCCTCTCTGAATCCTGGCCACCTGTCAGAGCCCTCAAGTCCCACACAGAGGCAAGAATTATGCTGTCCATGTTATGACAGGGACAGCCAACGCACATGGAATAATGTTCTAGGCTTGGAATATACAGCAAGTTGTATGGCACAGGCTGCCCTGTGTAAGGCAGAGGACGTAGGCTAACCTAGGATATTCTTGAAAAAAAACCCTCAAGTATCTTTAGCTGGGGACAAGGGCAGGGGGTGGGCCTCCGGGCCTAGGTCCTGTGGGAGGGTCCAAGCCCACTCTGGGGACCCGGTCTCACACGTCAAATCAGCACAGGTCTTTAGCCCAGCCAGACTGTATCTGAACTCGTCCTTCCTCTGCCTTCCAGAATCTTCTCCGAGCTGCCCTCAGGTGCGAGATGTCCCCAGAAACATGAACCCCAGACAGGTCAATGGATGCAGCCATTTTTCCCCCAAGCTCCTCTGTGTGAAGTTCCCTGTCTTGTTCCTAAAGGGAACTTGCCCAGAGCCCCCATCGGAATGATTCCCACGCCGCCCCTGGCTCAGGTTGCAGGATCAACTTTCCTCCCCCTCTCCCCGTGAGAGGCCCTGCAAAGGGCCCTTTGTGCAAGGGCCACGATGATAGGATGATGCGAGGGACAGCGGCACAAAGGAGAGATGAATCCGTCAGCTAGAGAAAGGGTCGATAATTCATAAGCCTGAGAAACCGTCAGGAAGGTAAAACTCCAGGTCTCATTAAAATACCCCAACACCCCCAGTCCTCGGGGCAGCATTGAGAAAGGCTTGTCCTAGGAGAGCTCGCCCTGGAAAAAAGAGGGCCTCAGCTGACGCCAAGAGAAGAGCTCATTATATGTTTTCTCTGGCGGCGTTTCTGAGCTGGAAAATGTGCAGCAGAGGAGAGAAATAATGAAAGGGCTGAAATTTCAGACACCACCAGCGAGCCGTGAGACAGGGATTTAGAACAAAGCAGTGTCTGTCAGCTCCCTGTTCCCACTCCCCACGCCATGGTGTCTTGTACCATTAGTCTTCGAGCCCCTCGAAGCCCCCAGCTTGGCAGCCCGGATTGGGATGTTGATAACGTATCCGCTGGAAGCTCTGGGAGATGGTGCGAGGGCCTCCTTTATCTTGACACACAAAAACACAGCTCTAGGCTCTGGTAGGAGCGAGACCTGGCGGTCTGCCTATCTCTGCTCAGGCCCTGAGATGCAGGGACCCCAAGGAAGAGGCACCTGGGATGACGAAGAGAGATTTCTGGGCTTGGCAGTCAGGAGACCCAGTTTCTAATCCTGGCTCTGCCACTTACTGGCCTCTGAGCCTCTATTAGTTCTGTAAAATGGGGACGTCCGTTCAATGCATAAGTGAGGACTGCTTGTGAGCATGTGACCTGGCACATTCCAGGCACTTCTTAAATCTCCCTCTCTCTGTTCACTTATCAAACTCACAGCATTTATGTGCCAGGTCCTGTAATAAGCACTTTCTATTATTAATTCATTGACTCATACAACCTGACGTGGTAGATAGTACCATCAGCAACTCATTTTATAGATGAGGAAACTGAATCCCTGGGTTAAGTCATTCCACCAAGTCACACAGCTTAATGAAGAGCAAAGCCAGGATTGAACCCAGCTAACCCTGCTCCTGGGTCTATGCTCTTCGGCATCACACTGCACCAGGCTTTCTTTCTCCCTGCTGGTAAAAGGCGACATGCCCAGAACTTCACGTGCTGGTGCTGCTATGCTCCTCTTGGGAAGTAGGCGAGGTGAGGTGAGGTGCAGCGGCAGCAGCTGGAAGGAGCCAGCAGCCAGGATCCTAGCTTCACTAAAGAAAACAGGCAATTGCCTGCAGCCTGATTTCTATGAGCCCGTCAGGAGGTGCCAGCCTCTTTCTCACCCAAAGACTAAGAGAAGTGGGTGACCACGTTGTGCCACAGAGCCTAGTGGATGAGTGAGGGGGAGGCAGGAGGTCTGAGGCCCTGGCTCCCCCCGCCCCAGACTCTGCTTGCTCACCTGGAGCCCAACGCTGTCTGCCTGACCGCCTTTGATGAGGTGGGAGATGAAGAGCCCACAGCCAAACTCCAGGCCACCACGCACGCTCAGGCCAAGGCCTTCCGGGTGCAGACGGTCCAGACGCACCTCCTTCAGCTTCCTGCCACATGGGAGAGGTTGGTGATGGTGCAGCCCGACTGCCAGCTCTGCCCCGCCCACTAGCCGGGGACTCTGTCCATCCCAGGTCGACCTCTCCACCCCCTGCCTCCATCCTGGTGGCTTCCTCTGCACCTGGAGCGCCGGGGGGTCAGCTGGTCATATTCCACCTGGTGCTTCAGTGGGATCAGGGGCCGAATGGCATCAAACAGAGGCAGGCGGCTGGGTTCATTGATGACCAGCTTCAGGTCTCCCACGAGCACGGCCACGTCCATGGTCCTGTGGAGATGCCAAGAGTGCCTGGAGCCTCCCTCCTGACCACCACCTCAGGGACCCAGGGATTCCTAGAGGAAGCTGTTTCAGACACTGGGCCCAGGCTTAGGAATGGGGGACACTGCTCCTGAAAAGCCCAGAGACCTTCACACTGAGCCAGTGCCTGAGAAGGCTTTGTTCTCTCATATAAATATCCCCAGGAAACCTGCCCAATGGGGATTGTTGACCCATTTTGCGGATGAGATGAAGCCAGGATTTTAAACTCAGTGCTGCCTAGCTCTGAGCTAGGGATCTTTCCAGATGGGAAAGCGCTATGTGAGATGCTGACGACTCCTCACGCACTCATCGTCTCCACTCGTACCTGCTGCTAGGCTCTGACAATTCCGCCTCACCACAGTTCATGTGCCTCCTCCCTCACACTGTTCAGACCTTTGACTGCAGCTGCCTGCCCGCGGACTCACTGCCGTCTCATCTTTTCTCAATGTAAGGCACTCCCTGACTTAAAGCCCTCTGATGGCTCCTTACTGCCTAGAGGACAAAGTCCACACTTCTCAGCAGGTTCAGGGCCCTCCATGACCTGTCCCCGTGGAGCTGCTCCAGCCTTGTGCCTATTTATGATCTCCATGTCCTCCCAAGTCCTACCCTACCCCCCCTGGATTACTTATCCCCATTCATACCCTTGCTCTGGTGCCTCCACACTTTAGCTGATGCTGATCCCTCATCCTGGCATGCCCTTCCACGATATTCCACCTACCAAAATCTTTTTCTTTTCTTTTATATTATTTTTTTTGAGACAGGGTCTTGCTCTGTTGCCCAGGCTGGAGTGCAGCAATGCAGTCATGGCTCACGGCAGCCTTGATCTCCTGGGTTCAGGTGATTGTCCCACCTCAGCCTCCCAAGTAGCTGGGACTACGAGCATGTGCCACCACACCTGGCAAATTTCTTAATTTTTTTCTGTAGAGATAGGATTTTGCCATATTGCCCAAGCTGGTCTCTAACTCCTGGGCTCAAGCAATCCTTCTGCCTCAGCTTCCCAAAGTGCTGGGATTTCAGGTGTGAGCCACCATGCCTGGTCCCAAGTCTTTCTCACCCTTCAAAGCCTTGCTCAAGCCTTCCTGGTCCTCCCTCTTCCCTTGCAGTTCTTCACATTTCTGCTTTTACTTCTACTTAGCAGTTATTTGATGTAACTTATATTAGAGTTCTTTGTGTTTGTAGTGTCTGTCCATCTCCCCTCCCCAGGCTGCAAGTTACTCAAGGAAAGAAAGTGGACCTAATTCATTCCCAGATTCTGCATGGTGCCCAGCAGTGGCAGGAGCTTATAAAGTACACAGAATGAATCAAAAAGCAAGTGGGTGATCAGAGACATCTGATACAAGGGCGGTGGCCAGCTGGCATTTCTTGTACTATCCCAACCATCATGCTGTACTGAATCTATCTGGCTACTAGATGGCCTCCTCCATCAGACTGTCAGCAACCTGAGAACAGAGACCAATCTGTTTTGCTTACAAGTATACTCCAGCCCCTAGTACAAAGCCAAGTACAAAGTACTTGTGTAAATAGTTGCATAAATGAACAAATGGTGTGTCCATTTGATTTCCAGGAGCAGCGAGCATCTACCCCTTAAGCTTTTCTGTCTCAGAGCAACCCATCCCTGGGCTCCCTGAAGACAGAGGAACCTGGGTGGTCCATGGGAGCTGGAGCCGGCATACTTACTGGTGGTACATCCGCAACACATCATAGAGATAGTCCTTCTCTGCATCATTTTCAATCAGAAAATCCACCTGGAAAATCCAACAGCAGAATCACAGCTCCAGGCCCAGCACACCACATAGCAGACCACAAGGAGAAGAGGTCATCCCCAGGGGCCTCCCCAGCAGCTTTTCAGGACTGGGGTGTTGAGGAGAGGAGAGAAGCCACAGGCCAGGCTGCCCCTCTGACCCAATGCATCAGACCTATCCAGACCACCCCACCGCGGCCACAGGGGTATGGCTGCCCTTCCAGATGTGGCCAGGCTGAGCCTTGTCCCCAGGTGGGACACTAAGTGCACACATGGGGATGCACACACATGCACATATGTGAATCCCCATGGGACAGCTACGCGCCGCCATGGCAGTGCTGCTGCTCACCCCCGTGGCTGTGTCATCCGTGGCCAGAAGATGCCCACTGTCTCACCTGATGGTGGCTGTAGTGCCGGATGAATGCTTTCAGGAAGGATTTGGGCCACTCACTCAGATGGCACATGCCACCCACCAGAAGCCCCCTACCACCGAATTCTTCTGTAACATCAATGCCAGGGGACCTTGACTCTGTACTGTCCTGGCCTTAGCTGGGTTGCCCTGAGTTCTGACCACTAGTCAGTTTCCTGGCCACTCCTTCCCCTCCTCAGGCCCCTGCACATGCCCCACAGGAGGAGTCAGGTTACATCATTTCAACTTGGTTGACGTCAGTGGCTGGGACTCTAAGGTCGGGTTCAGGAGTTGTTTCACTAGCACCTCAATCCCACTGAGGGGCCCAGAATTCCACTCCCTGAGTTAGCTCAGTGTGAATCTCTACACTGTATCTTTGGCGCTCTCTTCAGCTCAAGAATGGGTAACAGAGCAAGGTGGAAGCTTGAGGGGTCACTGGGTCCTTCTCTCCTCCAGCCTCCGAGCCCAGGGCCTCAGCCTTTCATAGAGAGGCTGCTGCTGGAAGCTGCATGCACTCCACTGACTGGTCCTCAGAAGAGGGCCAGAGCAGCGTTACCTCTTTCTGTGGGTATCCCAAGAGTTCCAAAAGACTGGGGCAGTCTGCCTGTCCCACCACAGAGAGGACATGCTGGGCCCAGCCATTGGGATTTCTGGCCTGAGCAGGGAGTAAAGAATGCAGATTTCTGGCCTAGATCTGGCAGTACCTCCTTCCCTACAAAATCAGGCTGAGCATTTCATTAAAGGTGACAATAACTTAGGAGGCTTAACCACAGCTGGGCTTCAGTTGCTACAGAAGTTCACCCCACTTGCTCCAAAAGGGCACCCTTGCTTTCTCCCTATCTCAGTGCAAGGAAGGCCGGGTGCAGTGGCTCACGCCTATAATTCCAGTAATTTGGGAGGCTGAGGTGGTCAGATCACCTGAGGTCAAGAGTTCGAGACCAGCCTGGCTCATATGGCAAAACCCTATCTGTACTAAAATACAAAAATTAGCCGGGCATGGTGGTGTGCCCCTGTAATCCTAGCTACTTGGGAGGCCGAGGCAGGAGAGTCACTTGAACTTGGGAGGTGGAGGTTGCAGTGAGCCAAGACCAAGATTGCACCTGTCCAACCTGGGTGACAGAGCGAGACTCCATCTCAAAAAAAAACAAAAAAACAAAAACAAAAAACCGGAGCTTCCAGCTAGAAGACAGGAGATGGAAACATGTGCTTGAGTGGGCAGTGCTAAATCTTAGGGCAGGAGGCTGGCCTTTTGCACATGCTACCTCCGAAAGCCCATCTCTCTACAAAGCCTGGATTCTCTCACTGCCATTGCCTAGGCCTGTGTGGCAGTCGGGTGGGTGGGGGGGTGCCTCCATGAGACAGGCCTGGGCTGCCCACATTGCACTGTGATAGGGGAGTCCGAACTCTCTTAGCAGCAGGGGCCAGAAATATCTTTATAAATTAGATCGTGTCGCTTGCTTGCTCAATAGTTTTTTATACCCCAAATCAAACCTAAATCCAAACTCCTTTCCTTGACTTACCAAAGCCCAGTCTCCTCTCCTACCAGTCTTCCTGGCTACAAAGGCCTCCTTTCCGTTCTTTCCACAGGCCGAACTCTCTCCAGCCTCAGGGCCTTGTTGTATGCTGTTCCCTCGGCCTGGACTGCTTCCCCCACTTCCCTGCCTGGCTGCTCCTTCCCAGAGAGTCTACCCTGCTCACCCACCCAGACAGAACCCACTCCTACGCCCTGGAGACATTTCAATTCCTTCACAGCGTCAACTGTAATTTGTAATTTAAGGTTCGTTTTCTCTGTGAATTGTTTTCTCTGTCTCCTTCTCTGGACAGAAAGATCCCATGAGGGGAAAGACATCTATTTTGTTCTAAACTCCTCGTGCCTAACACATAGGAAGCACTCCATAAAGAAGTATTGAACGGAATTGTTTGCCTGCTTCCTGGTATGCCCACATGGTTCAGGTGCGGGGGAGGTAACCACGGGAACAGAAGGGGAAGGAAAATGATGCTGCCCCCATGATCCCACATGGGGTGGCACTGGGAGATTTTAAGGGGCTTTATTCCATTTATTTATCACACTGGGGCCAATATTTTCACACCATGTTGCAGCTGAGGAAACTGAGAATCAGAGAGGTTAATTCACTCAGGGTCCCACAGCTAACAACCAGAGCTAGGATGTGAACCCAGGTCTGACTCCAAAGCCCGTGCTCTTTTTGCCACACCACGTCCATTGATTGTGACTCAGGCCTGGCAGGGGAAATAACTCCCAAGGTCCCTTTAGGCCAGAATTTCAAACTCTTTGCTTTCAATAACTTCTTTCTTGTCTCTAAGCCCCATCTCTCTCCTCTGCATTGTTAAGAAAACACCTTGGCTTGGTCTATAATGAGTGAGAAAAACGCAACATCTTTGGAATGACTCTTTGAACCCAAGTGTTCTACTTTCTAAGAGGAGCATAAAAATCCCATCCGTTTTGGCCGGAGTGAGGACACCCTGACCAAAGACTTCTAGCCTAGTTCTAGCCCTGGGTGGTGACACAAGAAAGAAGATGGGAGAGGGAATATCTTTTACCTTTTGAGTTAGAGAGTTTCACTCTGCTTGCCCAGGCTGGAGTGCAATTATGCGATCTTGGTTCACTGCAACCTCCGCCTCCTGGGTTTAAGCCAATTCTCCTGCCTCAGCCTCCTGAGTAGCTGGGATTACAGGCATGTGCCACCGTGCCTAGCTAATTTTTTTGTATTTTTAGTAGAGATGGGTTTTCTCCATGTTGACCGGGGTGGTCTTGAACTTCCGACCTCAGGTGATCTGCTTGACTCGGCCTCCCAAAGTGCTGGGATTACAGGCTTGAGCCACCGCACCTGGCCGGGGAGAGGGAATCTCTCATTGACTGAGGCCTCAGGACTGAAGTTCTCTCTTATCCCTCTTTGCAGAAATGTATCCTTCTGTAGCATTAGATTTCAGTGGTGAACAGCTGTCCTCCTTAGATTTTGTTTATTGTGTATTAGGTGGAAAATTAAGGGAATTTGCAATGTCAGGGTCTAGGGTTCTCTTTTACTGCCTTCCCTGGGCTAAGCACAGATCACCTGGAGATGGTCTTGGTGGAAAAGGGCCTGGCACTGCGGGTCCTGGGCTCCTGGCCCTTGTCAGCAGCCCTCTAGCACCAACCACTGCACCCAGAGGCCTCATCCTACCTGTCTCCTGAGACAGCTGCAGAGCTCAGCTCTTCGGCCCCATGTCCACCCACCATCACCAGTTAGGTTACTCAAACCCTGTCCTCAGTTCTGCCCATGCTCACTTCTCCAGTGTCACCTCTGGCACATCCCAGGGACTCAGCTGCAGCAGACTAGATCCTTCCCCCGACACACTGGATTCTCCTCATCCTCACTCACAACATCCCATCTACCGCCATGTCTGACTTGTCCACTTAAACAATTCACTATACACCTAACAGCCAGCAGGAAACATAGATCTGGTTTATGTAGAATGCTGTTTAAATATGAATCTAAGTGATAAATCATCACAAACTTGAAAACTGGTTTTTACACAGGAGATCCTACAAAGGGAGGGATCATTCTCCACCCAGAAATATCTCAGAGACGCTCAAAGAGAACAGCACTGCTTTGTTCTCTGACCACACCTCAGTGAAAACACAAGCTCACACCTCACTCTTCAGGCATTAAAAGGCACCAAGAAAGAAAATCGAGAAAGAAGGAAGTTTCCCTAAAGCCTGAATGTGCAGTAACAATACCACCATTACCTCAATTACTTTTTCTTTGTAGTCTTCCCTGTGGTCCAAATCAAATTACTTTTCCAATATCAAAAAAAAAAAATTATATAGTGTCCTCTCTTCTGGAATTCTGCCTAGCACCAGCCCGAGGACGAGCTTCAGGGAGTTCCTGCTGTGTACCATTCTCCCAGTACCCTGCGCTCAGGTATGTTCGAAGCGCCAGGCACACAGTAGGTCTCCCACACCTTCTTTCCTTCCTTCCAAACATGTTCTCTGTTTCCCTGTGGAACCCAGAGCCATGTCATGCACACAGGCTTACGGTGCCTAGTGGCATCTGTTGATGAAAAGGGAACTCCATTTGCTCTAGTCTAGAGCCTTCTTTCTGGCCTTTGGCCCAGGCCTGGGTCCCTACCTTTCCACTGGTCCTCAGCACACATCTTCAGGTATGCCTCCTGTTAGTTCACTTCCAGTTCATCACAAAAAAAAGTGGGTCCCAGCTACTCCATCTATGCGCAGTGGACCGCTTCCCTCCTCTCATCCGAACCCTGCCTTCATTTCAGATGAGCCCAAGTCCCCTCCTCTAGAGTCCAGAGTCTCCTCACCTGCCTCCCAGCCTGAGCTCTTCCTGCCTGGCTCACTCATCCCAGCCAGCCTCTCCCTACTGACTGTCCGCTGCCTGAGGACCCTCACATGCATTATCTTTCATCTCCTAACAACCTTCTGAGGTGAATGTTATCATCCCTATTTTACAGATGAGGAAATAGAGGCTCAGAGAAGTGACAGAACGGAGACTCCAGCCTATGCCTGCTGGCTCCAAACCCTCTGCTTTTTTTCAAACTATCACTGCTTCCACCCTGTTTAGCCATTAGCAGTGATGGTA